CTTCTTATTAAAAGATCTAATAATAAAAGTTAAATTCGATTTAATTCTAGTTATAATAAAAAGACTTACTAAGTATATAATCCTAATACTATATAAGGAATTAAGTACTACTAAGAAGCTAGTATATACTTTTATTTAGTATATAGTCGCGGACTATAGTACTCTAGAAGAAATAGTCTTAGACCGAGATAAACTATTTATATCTAAATTCTAGATAGCTATAACTATCTATATAGAAATAAAGTAAAAGCTATTAATATTATTCTATCTATAAATAAATAGAGGTAATAAAAGAATAAACTAAGTAGTTAAAGTATACTTAAGGTATTATATAAACTATAAGTAAGATAATTAGATCGTCTTATTACTAATAGCCTAATTCTCGTATAATAGTATAGCTATAGAGATAATATAAGTATTACTATTTAAAGCTAACTTTAGTTATAAGAAAATAGTATTCTAAGAACCTTATAACGCGTCTATCGATAGTTAGGTAGAAAGAATCCTCGTTAACGACCTTTTCTCTCTTTATAAATAACTTATTAAAGAGCTTAAGTTTATCTTAGAACAAAATACGTTCTACTATAATAAAAAACGTAGTTAGAAGCCTATACTAAGAGAGAGGGATAGAGTTTATTTAGTTAGACAAAATATTTAAATAAAAAGACTAAGCGATAAACTAGATAATAAGAAACTAGGACTATTTAAAATTAAAGCGTATAAAGGACCTTTAAATTATAAACTAACTCTATTAAAAAGTATAAATATCTTTCTAGTATTCTATATATCTCTCCTCGAGCTAGTACCGCCTAGAGCGCTACTAGCTCTAGTTATAGAAATAGAACTAGTAAACTCTAACGCTAAGTATAAAGTCGAGAGAATCTTAGACTATAAACTTATTAGAAGAAAACTACGTTATCTAATAAAGTAGAAGGACTACCTATAATTAGAGAATATATAGGAACTAATAAATAACCTTAACTACTCTAAGTAGCTTAAGAAGTTCTACTACTAATATCTAGGGCCTCCTAGAAAGACCTAGGATTGAAATTTAGATTAAGTAGCGATAGGTCGTAGGTAGAGAAGTCGTCGAGCGGGGTAGAGTAGACTAGTAGTCGTTCTACTTCTACTTCCCTCTCCTCCTTCTCCCTCTTCTCCTCTTCTTTCTACTACTCTTTCCTCTCTAACTCGTCTAACTCGTCTAGCGAGTTAAGACCTACTAAAATTATCTTCTACTTTTACTTATAAAGAAAGCGCTTCTACTTCTTAATATATAGGGCGCGGGAAGTAGCCTCTTATTAGGCCGCCTACGCCTTCTACTAAAGATTCTATACCTCTTTCTCCTCGGCCTCTAGCTTAGCCTCCTAAGCCTCGATACTCTCCTAGTTAAATTCCGTAGGTATCCGGTTTACCTCTTTTATATTATAGGTCTTACTAGTAGTAGTATATATACTATAACGACTATAGTTCGAGTTTCGTAAAACTATATATATTTTTCCCGCCTTTTTATAATAAGAATAAGGCGCTATCTTTCTTTTAGTTAAATTAATCTATTTTCTAAGGGCTATAATATTAGAACGTTTAGTTATATAGTCGGGTAGTATATTAGAAAGAAGAGAAGTCTATAGCCTTTAACTAACGTATTTCTTAGTCGTACTTAAGCGTATAGACCCGCTAGTCTAAATAGGGGATAGTATTACGAGTAGCGTCGGCCTCGGCGTCGTAATACTCCTAGGACTAAAGGTCCTAGGATTAGGCGAGGTTATAGAAATTAAGTAGTTCCTAAGACCGCCGTCTAATAGCTTAATTCGGTTAATATTAGTAATATTTATATTAGTAGATAGGCCCTAGTTTTAGGTAGTATTACGTAATAAGTAAGAGTTTAATAAGTTCGCTAAGTTCGCTATTAAACTTGTCGAACTCGTCGAACTCGTTAGAACTTAGGTAGAGTAAGAAGTCCTATATAATAATTATAATTTCCTTAGATAGAAGCTTCGTACTTAACTTATTATAATAATAGTATATTATCTATTTAACTTACTCTTATTATAACGAATAGATCTCTAAATCTATAAGTAATAATCTTACGCCTACTTTCTAATATACTAACCTTATAATAACCCTAGTCTACCCTAAGTAGAACCGAATCGTTATACTAATCTATCTATTTAAGTTCTAAAAGTAGTTAGAGATATACTAGAGGGGAGAGTATAGAAATAGTATTATAAGTAATAGGCTCTAGTCTCTAAAACATCTTTACTAACTAAGTATATTCTATACTTAGTATTTATACTTATTATATATATATATATATTAAGTAATACGAGCTTTTAGAAGGTATATATCGTTAACTAGATACTAAGCTAAAAATCTTATAAGAGTTAATATATTATTATCGAGCTAGAATAGTAAAGTAGGTTAAAGTAATACTAATTTTATCTATCGATCGAGGTAATAAAGACTATAACTTATATAGATCGGCTCCTATTAATAACACTAGAGTTTTTTTAGAGCCTCGTTAGAGTACTTAAATAGAAGTTCTTAAGATAAAATTTATCCTATTTAGATAGTAGAATAATAACCTTTATCTTTATTTAATACTTAGTCTTTATAGGTAAGTAGAGTATAGAGCCTAACTTACTATTAAGTTTAGTAGAGAGAAAATTACTAAGTAAGTAGCGAAAAGGCTAATTAAGAACTATATCTACCTCTTTAATATTTATTAGGTTAGTCTATAAGACACTCTTGTCGGAGAGACAGACAACAAAAATCTAAGCATTATTTACAGAAAAACATATGGCTAGCCCAGAACTGGCTGATTCTAAGGCAGTAAATCTAACCCGCAGCCGAAAATACTATTCTTGGGACGAGATTCTCCAGTTTTCGATCCGAGCTATTTGCACAGGGGCAAAGCAGTCTAAGTGATGTGTTCATTCAAGCTCTTGGGCCTAGGCTTCTTCAACCAGGAATGCAGTGCCAGTAATACCGCAGAGGCGGAGCCTTGTTAACAGATTATGCACGATCTTGGATAGATGGGTCTCGAGCTTGACGTACCATGGTACATGTTTCGTTTTTATTGCTCTCCAATCGCCGTGTACAGAACTAGGCAAATCACAGACATGGCGTGTTGCTACCAACTCCAACCCTGATGAATCTGGCAAAACATTATCCTTCCTTGCCTTTTAGCAGCGAACCACGGATCATTCGAAATGCAAGTCCCTGTCTATTCCGATCGGCGATGCTGCTCGTTGCTTCCAAAGTTACGGTTCATGGGCTTTTTACGGCCCGGATGGGTTTCGGTTTGATGCTTTTTGCTCCAATATGGAACAAGCCGCATGGGAAAGAGCCGCCAGTTGTTCTGGTAAGGACATTGAAGTCTAGGGGCCGTACATGCGAAAATAACGGAAGGATTTCTAGCACACAAAAACGAACAAAGCTGAGCTTACAATTTGCTCACACCATGGGAAGTTCCGTTTCAACATCTCTTCTGTTGTGTTGTTGAGAGTGCCTTTATTGATCCATTCATGGTCGCTTCGACCACAGCAACTGGATTGGAATCATTGGATACAAGTTACAACATATAAGATTACGCGTCCACGTTCATGAGAATCTAGCGAGTAATTTTGAACTCAATGGCCGATACATACCCGAGCCTAACACAGTAACGATATATGGCCGACGCACCACGAATTTCTTTTGCGGGCAATTGGGACATTAAATAAACTACCCATCGCGTTACTCGATTTGCAAGTTGAAGAGTCAACTTCCGGGAGGAGAATTCTAGCTTGGCACACTAGGCCGTATCTGCAACAAGATGCAGTAGGTGGGATTGAAAGAGGGAAGAGGCGAAGGGTCATCCAACCTCTATGCAGCATGCTCTAACACGTTCTGGATGGATGTGCTCCAGTCACTGCTTCTTTGAGAAGACCAAGTGAAAAACAAACACATCACAAAAGCCTTCGGTCCCGCTGAATCATGAACCACCTTCTAGAAGATCAGACCACTCCTTACGGTGTACGTCTCTTATCTGAATGGCTTAGACACTTCCTTTTAACGGTAAGAGGCTCAGTGTGGGAACCGACCCGAGGAACTCGTGCCGAAGTTTGACACGATATGGAATTTCCACACGACCTAGGCCCAGGAATGCAGGAGGAGCCCAAATCTCAACGAAAACTATTCTGCGGGCATAGGCGTCAAATCGAAAAACACATTACACTGGTTTCTTGTACGGGAGTTTTGGATCCAGCTGCGGGCAGCCGAAAGGGGTTGATGTTCGCTTAGCGAGCCATTGAAGCCCTGAGGTCAAACCCCGGATTATGGCATTTTGGTGGAATATGAGGTGCCATTATGATGACCAACCAACATAGTGTTCTCACAGCAGTGTAACATTGGTAACTATCCCTGCCGTCGGGCATGGGGAGTTGTCTCCCGAGCCGTATTATTTTTCTCTCTGTCCCGGTTGCAGCCCGACATAAGCCGGAGAGTCCCTTGCTCTGTGGATGAAAATGGTTTCTTCTGCACCGGGGCAGTCAAGTAGTACACCCGCCCTTGTGCATGAGCCTACAACAGCTTACGCTAGGGTAGGGCTGCCAGGTACTCATATCGATTTTTGGTAAAGAAATCGGAAGTTTCTCCGGCAATACCGCTGAGGGGTCTGCTGAACTCCGCTTCGCTTCTTTACACTCTTTCCTGTCATGACTACCGAGTCCCTTTAACATATTCTCCACTATTGATCTCCATGGAGCTGCAACGTGGATTCCATTAGTCTTATTCCCTGGCAATATTGCTTGAAAATTACAGCGGCACGCTTCTAAACCTCGGCGTTTTATGCGAGAGATTTGTTGTTTAAACTGACGCGGAACACCTTCCTGGCGTACCCAACATTCTCACTCTATATGTGGTTTTGTCGTTACGAAGCAGCCATCTGGACTGCGAGTTATGAATCCAACATATGGGAAAATCTGCTCCGTTAGTATTGGTGGCACAACTCGGCCTGAAGCATGCCCAAAGACTGGACTGGCCATAAGGCTGAGATAACACGACTCTATATTGAGGAAGGAAAGACCCTGAACGAAGTAAGAGAAACCCTGACTACCAGATATGGATTCAAGGCATCGTAAGACACCTTTACTATCTATATTCACTACCCAGAACCACATACTTACAACTGCATCAGTATAAGAGCCTACCGCATGAGAATTGACGAATGGTCTTTACGAAAATACAAGTCCCGAGAAGATGCACTTGAAGAAACTGAAGAACACGAATCCGCTAATCAGTCTCTTTCTGGATCAGAGATGCCCCCTCCGGATGCTAAGCCAACAAAACTACGCAACAACGGCAAACTGAAGTTTGGTTCGAATTGTTACATCTCCGCAAGTCCGATGGGAGCTGACGAGGTTCTGGCCTTGATACAAGAGCCAGACGCCGCGCCATACGCACTTGAGATTTTACTCACAAAGTGGCAGGTAGGTGGCCGTTATCTTGATGCTCTTGGGACTGTTCTTCGAACGAACCAGCCTTCTTTCTTGGTCACGCGCTGTGCGAAAGACGGTCGCCCTCTTCTTTTTAAGCTGGTAGAAGATTTTGTTCATCAATCAGAACAGATTTTGGTCGGAAAGCTTCTCCTCGAGTCTCTCTTCTTGGGAACTGCAACAAAAAGACTCGCCGAGGTGGCTTGGCTTACATCGTGGGATGCAGCATGCCAATGCACCGACTGGTGTAGTGTGAAAGAGATACTCTATGACAGCAGTACGGTTTCGATCAGTGCCGGAGAGCTGTTTCTGAATAGTGCAAGAGCAGTTCTTGCTGACCAACTTCTTCGACGCTACATTCAGCAACTCCGTGGGTTAAAAGCACGGAATATCTCGGATCTTAAAAGCCCAGAGGAAGTACGTACCTATCGACTTGATCTCATCTACTTGTTAGAAGAGTCTAGGGACTTGGACATGGTTCTTCAGCCCACAATTTACAAATACGCCCCTGAGATCATCGAAAACGATGAGTACGGGAATTGGATTCCATACAGAAAGAACGATCCACGATATATTTCCCTTGCAAATTGGTGTCGATACAAATATCTTCAAATGACGAGTGGGGGCCGAATTCCTGATGATGCTAGTGAGGATGTTAAAGAGCGAGAGTGGATGAACACCTCTAACTACACCGATCCACAAGGCCGTTCAGACACTGCTGTCGTCACAAACACTTATGTCCAAGAGCCTCGTTCGAGTAGAAGCAATGCTCATGAGCTTAGACTTGTCACTTCACAACCCAAAACGCAGTTGTCCTCTAGAAACGGGACACTTGCCACTGAGACCTTACCAGAGGAAGATTACGGCGGACACCCGGTGATGAAAGCACTAATGACCAAGTGGAAATCCCTAAAAGGATTCAAATCATACGTTCATTCCATACTCGCAGGAGATTCAAACGGTGTCTTCATTTTCGACCCCGCATCCAGTGACAACGAAAATCTGTTTGATGTCATAGACAAGCATGTACCAAAGGACGAGCAGTTACCAGTGACTCAAGCTGTACTACTTGCATGCTCTACCATTAACAAGGAGGAATGTTGGCGGCCATGGACTTTGGATTGGTGGCTCTCTTGCTTCCACACAACAAGTTGGGATGATTTAAGAACCAAGACGGAAACGGCACAGCTCGAGAGACATCTGTGGCGGCCCATATCCTCCGCTGCGCTGAAGCTCCTTCTGGACGCTACCTACAGTCTTGTAGGAGAGCGTCTCCTGAATGAGCTAAAGACTGTCATGATCTCGCTCCGCACAAGCCCGGGTTACAGTTCTTGTGGCGATAACTCGGTACGATACGACGAGCTCTTGAAGCAGTACATTGCAATCCTAGGGGCATTCCGAGAACGCAGCCTGAATGTCGAACCGGCCTGTCTAGCCCATGCGCTGAATGCCATGGGGTAGATGGACATGCATGATCCCACGTGAAACCTTTCCTTTTATTTTACTCAAGTCTCCTCGCAAATGTATTTGTTCCTCAAATTTTCATTTTCTTTGTTTAGCATTTGCTTGGAAGGCGTTAGCAGATGGTCTCAAACTGCATTTGGGATCAAAATGATGTTGGATTTTGGGCGATACGTTTTTGGTTGAATCCAAATGATGGGGACTATCACAAAATCATGGTTCACGATAGATTTCTTTCCCCAATTTGTGTAGTCTTTGGTTGCGTTTGAAGCTTTCCAGATTAGGCTTCATGGCACACGGCGTAACTGCTTCCTCCTGCATTGTTCCTCTCAACAAGACTAGCTTAATGAAAGCTGACCCCAACACCTTGCCAATCTTCTTGCTTTTTACCATTTCTTCCATCATCGTATTTCCCTTTGCACCAATCAGTGATATTATCACCGTTCGTCATACGTGCCCCGGCGTCCATCTTGGAGGCGCCACCGCCGACGCATCTACCCGTACCGGATCTCCCGGGGCCAAAATCCGACTGACCCCCACTGCGGACATCACGAAAATCCCACGATGCTGGCGATGATCATATTCTTTAAAGTCGTCTTTCTGCAGGTAAGTACCGCAAAAAGAAATTATTACTGGGAAGTGTACCAGGTGCGCTGAGTCAAGCGTGAGAATGGGTCGGTAGTTGTCAGTCGAGAGAGGAAGGAGAGACGGGTCAGGTTGTACTGTGCAACGTGGCGTTGCATTCATGACTTTGAGCGAGAGTCGCATCAGCATCGCAAGAAGACGTTTCGTCCACGAACATATTTTTCCGTCAACAAGGAATTACCTTGTGTCCGCAATGGACAGCCGTTACTCCGGAAGTCCCTCTCCGAGTCTTATCTCAAGCCTTCGCAGATCCTGCTCTTTGCTTTTCGTTCCAATTTACGCGGTGGCCTTAGTCTCCTGTTCAAAGACGTTTGTGCACGTAAGGGCCCTTGCATAATCAAGGCATGCTCTTTCTGTTTTCTATATACTAGAGCGAGACAGAAAAACAAAATTCGTCTCCCATCGATAGCGAACGGCTCGTTGACGACCATACAAAAGCGAGTGTTGCGATGGATTTCGAGGGCGGTCGCCCGTGACATCAGCCTATCGGCCCCCTTTTCAGCTCGCTAATCTAACGAGATCATCACTACCCGCGAATGTCGAATCTCGGCTTCGCGAAAACGTGGGCAAGATTGGACTGAGGATGAAAAGTCTCCTTTGATCCCGACTTTTGATCGTCTTTCGGGCTGAGGAGGTCGAACCCTTGCGCAGCCCGTTTATGATTTAAGCTTCTTACCTTCTGGTCCCGGTACTGGGTTACACCCAAATTCCTTATCTTCAACAATCTCTCGTCAGGATACTTGGTCGCTTGTGAGTCGCTCCACGATACTTTTTCTGATACTCGACTTTATCAGAGCTCAACAACCCGTGTTCGAATTTTATTCGAGCGACCTGGAGAGGTTTATCAGTATGCCAGTACTTCGATCAATAACAAACTCTTCCTCCTTTAATACCTGAAATCCTTATCTCACGCGACCATACCCTTTGCCCGCCTACGCCCTCGATGGAGCAAGGAAGGGTCTATCAGACTAGCACAACAACAATACCGAACAATGATCTTCGACGCCAGCGCTCGGCAGTCAAAAGCCGAAACAATGGTTCCTCTTCTGCCACGGTTTCGCCAGATACCAGCTTATCAGCGGACGATCAGATAAACTTCTCACACAACGAGCAACTCCCGCCGCTAGTCAACTCCTCCTTGATGTTCTTCTCCACACGACCCATCTCTCAAAGTCTTAATATCTTGTCCAAATCACGACATCTCTTCCCGCGAGCTATGGAAATCCTGTTGAGGAATTGGAGTGGGGGAGGGGAATCGCTCCGATACGCTAATATCCTCCTTCAAGAACCCGCCTGCTGCCAAAACCTCTTGGGTCCCAATTGGAAGTGCTGGTATGGGGACGATGGCACCCTTTTCGATCTGGCATATCAGAACGTTACGAAAGCGGAACAGGCGATACTGTTCAAGGCGTTGCTGAGAGCAGATATGAAATATCGTCCACAATTGTGTGCAAATCGTCCAGCCTGGGCAGATGATTGGAGGCATGCTGTGGAACAAAGCAGTTGGTCAAACGCAAAAGGAGGTATCGTCGGGCTTCTGGTGGGCAAGACATTGTGGGTAAGCATGATAACGGTACTTATGGAGCATCACTTGGATATGTGCATCAAATCGCCACAAATTCAAGTACCAGATCATCGTCAGCAATACAAGGATATCTTGAGAGATTGTCTTGATATGGGTCTTGACATCGCTTCGGAGTATTATGATTACGAAAAGAAAATGCTGTGACCTGTGAGTTTGCGGGCAGATGAACCCATTTGTTCATGCCCAGTACGGCCAGGCAGAACCATGATTTTGGCAGAAGCAACATCAGACTGTTCTCAACGAAGCCAGCCATCTTTGACGGCACGAAGAGGAACGTTGTCATTTCAAGCTTTTCGGTGCACGGTATTCAGCCCTATTACTAGCGAGGAGGCGAAACGCAAACAGCTCTCGCGACGGCGCTGATGATCGTCAGAAACAAGTGGGGTGGACGATCTTATTCCGAGGAGGATATAATTTTTGGGGGCGAATGCATTTCGCTGTACCATCTACAGAACTGGATGGGAATTCGTTTGCAGGATGGCATATCTCCTTGATATGCATTAACGACAGCTACGATAACGATATCCACGACCGACGTCTGGAAGGATCCTACGACGGAGCAACGGCGCAGTCTTTGGTGGATCTCTTTTCAAAGTGGTCATCTGGTCAAAGATGTCAGATTAAGTATTTGATTTACGGAGGACATTGATGTCTGAGGTTCAGTCAAGGGTCGATAGCTGTGGAGTAATGAATGGAATGGGATACCTTATTAGAAAGCATTGTTAGAATTTCTCTTTGGATGGGAAAAATTCCGCTTACTTTAGATTTAATTGAAATTATAACGACTTAGAAAGTAAGAATTTCTCTGAGGTCACGGTGTTGCTTCCATGGTGCGAGCGGGATAGCACTTACTTAAAGCTCGAAAATAATGGACTTGTTATTTGTGAATGACATGCAAAATGATATACGCTATTTTAAAACTTTGACTAGACCGAGCGAAAAATGGAAAGTAGATCAAAAATAGCTCTGAACATCGAAGAGGAGAAAACTATTTCCTAGCTAATAATAATACACATTGAGTCGAGAACGAAGCTATACGAGCGATAGCAACTGTCACGCCGGATCAGGCCGGTTGCGGGGTAGCAGCAGGGACCACCCACCTAGCCAATGACGGCTCTGTTTATGTCATAGCGGGGCCTGTCAAATCCACCCGCGAGGGTCGCTTCCAAGTAAACACAAGCGTCTCCAGCCAGGGCAACGAGAAAACAAAGAATCTCTTTCCTCGATACAACCAAGCTTGACATTACATCCAACTGCTCAGTTTCGAATTCCAACAGAAATATTTTGAGAAAGAGAGATAAAGCAAGCAAACATGGCATCTCCAGATCGCTCCTCCTCTATTGACGAGACCACCATCACGCCCGTCCGTCCTGCCTCGCATGTTCGACAGAATTCGTTGGAGAAACATTTGCAACACCGTCCGGATCCGCAAGAATTGAAGGATAGACATATTTTGTTGGATACTAATGCTGCTCCGTACGTTCCTTGTCCCTTCTACCCCTCCCTAGCAGGACGAAAGCTAGAAGCTGCCTGTTACTCGACAGAATAGAGCTAATGAATCCAGAGCCCTACAAGCCGCAGCCCAAGAACTCGAACGCCAAAGAGCCACCGACTCCCTCAAGAAAGGTCTTGAAAACCGTCCACACAGAGAAGATCTAGTTGAGCGTCCGTGCCCCCTCCCCGTCTAACCAACACTAGCTAACAAACAATCCACAGGCAACATCCTCCCAACCTCAACCGCCGCCCCGGGCATCCAAGCCAACGCGCGCGAACTAGAGAAACACATGCGAGCCGACTCTCTCAACGAGAAGATCTCGCACCGTCCCAAGCCAGAAGAGCTGATCAAGGAGGGGATCTTACAGGAAGATCCTACGAGTCCGGATAAAGAGACGACTCAGGCTGCGAATGATAAGTTGTATGAGGAGAGAATTGAGGAGGAGTATGCTAAGCGTGAGGGTGGTGCATAGATCTGGTTTTGGGGTTGATGGCTAGGAGTTTGGGGTTTTGTGTTTTGGTGGCATGGGAGTGATATGGCAGGTTGGCTCTTTCAAGATGTGGGAGGGAGGATTGGTATCTTTTAGCACCGCTGTGCGGCAGAAGTAAAAGCATTGATTAGTCTCATTTTTCTCATTGGTATCCAAGCTCCTACTAGCGTGACATGTCTTCTTCTGCCTCTCTGACATTTGCAGATCAATGAACCAATTTCTACATTTCTCCATAGACGTAGAACCCTGCCACACTACTTGTCCATCTATCTAAAAAGTTGCACTGATGGTTCCTTGATGTACCGAGAATGCCAAATATGCAACCAGAAAGATGGCCTGCCTAGATCAACTCCTGGCGTAAAGGAGGTATTTCAGCATCCATTTTCGGATTCTCGAATCGTTTCGACTTGGAGCGGCTAGTGTGTGGACAAGCATTGCTAGATACGTTGGGATCATCTTCTGAACTCTATTGCGATAGTCCGAATCTAGAGCTTGGACTTCCAAAAGCTCAATAACTTGCCCGCATCTGATTCAGGTGTCCACCGATCTAGGGTTTCTCGTGTCTTAAATAGACGATAGCCAATTTCATCCGAAGCACAGTCGTCGCTGCTTAGGGTCACCTCGACCGCCAGACTTTTCTTTCCGTTCATTACTCGGTCTTCCTCTCTTACCGGTTGTCGGAGTTTGATCTCTCGCTTTAGAGGTGCTAGGATCGACATTCTCTTGTACCACATCGCGAATCGTCTGTCTGGACAAACAAAGATCAATATGGTCATTGAACGCCTTCTCGTTCGTTGCCTGTGGTCTCATACAAATCGGACAGTCCCACCACTCCTCCTCTAGTTTCTCTTCTTGTTGCTTCTTTGGTGTCGGATTTGGGACCACTTCTTTACCATGATGTCGACGCTTGTCAATTTCCTGGCTCAGATTCTCTAGTTCTTCTAGGTCATCCTCTCGCTCTTGTCGTTCGGCGTCTTCGAAAAGAAGCTCATTAGGCCACTCCTCCCATTGTCCGTCATCGCCAGAGACGTTGTTGGGTGTCCCTGATTTGCCCTTGGATGGTGACAGCGATGAGATAGTCCTATCACCAGACTCAACAGATTCGGTGGTTTTTCTTTTGAATCCAAAGAATGCCATGGTGTCAGCTTTTTTCATACTTACGAGATGAGTACACCGTAATCCCATTAACCGCAATCTCATCCCAGGGAATTCCTGCTCCAGCTTTGAAAGCATTGGTAATGCATACTTGTACAGATCATCGGCCAAATATATTGCTTTTGGAGGAATCACTTGCCTAGTGAAGACTTCATATGTATGCAGCTTAACCTTTAGACACAAAGTCCTTCCTCTAAACTGTGTACGAAGCATGTCCTTTTCCAGTTCTTCAGCCGTTGCACGCAACTTCTCCCGAAGCTCTTTCGGGTCACTCATATCTCCGAAGGTGCTTTCCGTTCCGACACTCTTCCGCTCATACTCTTCTGCTGGCTGCACTTGTGTCCTCCCCAACCCTAGATAGCATTGCATCAGAAAGACAAAGGCCTTTTCACCAAAGAGTTTGGAGAGATACTGCCGGTGCCCATAGATATCTCCACACGTGTTGACACCAATAGCACCAAGTTCTCTCTCAAAAACCCTACCGATGCCATTCACTTTACGAGTCGGGAGATCTCGCATGAACGCCATAATAGAGTTGCGATCGCTTGGTAAAAGAAACTGTCCATTTGGTTTATTCTGGTTCGAGCATATTTTGGCTAACTTTGCATTTGCCGCAATACCAGCAGAAATCGTGATTTTCGTCTTTTCGTGAACCTCTCGTCTGAGCTGTTGAACAGCGTCTTCCGGTGAGATGTCATTGACTTGACAGTATGCGGTAATATTCAAGTATGCCTCATCTATACTGGCACTTTCAAATCGTGGATCGTACTCGACAATAATTGCTCGAACCTCCTGGGCTTTAGATGTGTATTTGTCGAAGTTAAGTGGTATTTGGATCAGTTGCGGGCATAATTTCTTAGCCACGAATCCCGCCATACCACTCCTGCAGCCAAACTTTCTGGCATGATAGTTACATGTCGTAAGAACTCCTTTCCCCACGGAAAATGGTACATCCTTAAGTTCGGGGCGATCCAGTTCTTCGACGGCAGCGTAGAAGGCATCGCAATCAATGTGGACCACAGTCTGCGATAAATCCCTGGTAAGTTCAAGCTCCGCTATGCAGTCGTCCGCTCTCCTACGATCGCTCGCGAGATCTAGCTTTTCCAGCTGTGCTTTCTTCTGCAAGATCCTTTCGATTTTCTGGGTCAAGTTCTTATCGCGGGTTTCCTCGTTATTGAAAAACTTGGAACCTTTCGACGCGTTATAAATGATTTCCGATACCTGTATGATATGAGCATCACCGTCGCATGGCGGCTTGCACAACCTACCTTGGACTGGTCAACATTTGCTTGACCTGACTTCGTGAGAGATGGTCCCAGAAGGGAGTATTTCAAGGTGTCATGCTGATCGACTGTTTTATCCTCGACTGGACACTCTTCACTCATATCGTTATGTTGCGGTGCAGTACATTTGCCTTCGAAAGCCGCCGCACCCCCCCTTCTTGTGGTCCAAGATCAGGCAAGCCTAATATATTTCCCACCTAAAAATGGTGGCAGTTGCAGGAAAATTGTTTTCGACTCGTGCATAACGTCGAAGCAAATCTGTATATGATTATGTTGCGATAATCAAAATTCTACAAGTAACGCGAATCCACAATCACGTCATCACGTGCAACAACGAATAGCAGGGGACTTAGACCAGGGGTCCGTGGATTTGTTCCGTCGCTTGAAAAAAGTTGAAAGTTGTTCCGCGATCAATCAACAAAATGCAACGAACAGTGAGGGTTGTGGCTTCGGCAGAGGCATCAATTGCCTCTGTAAGAAGTTCTCTCAGACCTAGATACTTGTGCTTAAATGCATCAAGTAGGAATCTGGGTGGAGCTGCCACACTAGGATCGAGAGGAAAGGGGGCACAGAGATACTTCTCAGAAACAAGACATATACGGGCTGGTGTCGCAGAAGCAGTGTACGTTTCTCCCTACTCAATTGTGATTCCTGGTCTTCTTGCTAGGAGGGTGGAAACGGACAACTTGCATGTCAGCGCAATAATCTACGAGTTGCTAATCATGAATGCCCTGTAGACTCAAGGAAGCCGCCACTGCGCCCGGCAGTTTGACGCAAGAGACAATTATCAAGAACCTAGACGGAAAGGAGAAGCAAAGACTAGACAGGATCCGAAATATTGGTATTGCTGTAAGATTCATTCACATAAATATTGTCAAATCGTTTCCTTATTAGGAACCTAGGCGCATATCGACAGTGGCAAAACAACTGCTACTGAGCGAGTTCTCTTCTACACCGGGCGGATCAATGCAATCCACGAAGTTCGCGGGCGAGATGCTGTGGGAGCAAAAATGGATTCCATGGAGTTGGAAAGAGAAAAGGGAATTACAATCCAATCTGCGGCAACCTTTTGCGACTGGAAAAAGGTGGAAAATGGAAAGGAAGAAAAATACCACATCAACTTGATTGACACACCCGGCCATATCGATTTCACTATTGAGGTTGAACGAGCCCTGCGAGTCTTGGATGGAGCTGTCATGATTCTCTGTGCTGTCAGTGGTGTGCAGAGTCAAACTATTACAGTAGACAGACAGATGCGCCGGTACAATATTCCTAGAATCAGTTTCGTAAACAAGATGGACCGAGCAGGCGCGAACCCTTTCAAGGCAGTCGAGCAAATCAATCAAAAGCTTAAGATCCCGGCCGCTGCTTTGCAGGTACCAATTGGGACAGAGTCTGAGTTCAAAGGTGTAATCGATTTGATAAATAGAGAGGCTCTCTACAACGAAGGTCCTCGAGGCGAGACGATTCGAAAGACAAGCGAAATCCCCGAAGACCTGAAAGACTTGGTCGAGGAAAGGAGGTCAATGCTGATTGAGACTCTGGCAGATGTTGATGATGAGATTGCGGAGATATTCTTAGACGAGAAAGTTCCTAGCCCGCTTCAAATCAAGCAAGCTATTCGAAGAGCCACTATCGCTTTAAAGTTCACTCCGGTGTTGATGGGAAGCGCTCTAGCAGATAAATCTGTTCAGCCTATGCTTGATGCTGTTTGCGACTATCTTCCAAATCCTGCCGAGGTTGAGAATCTTGCCCTTGACAAACGGCGAGACGAACAGCCTGTGAAGCTTGTTTCTTACAATTCGCTGCCATTTGTAGGCTTGGCCTTTAAGCTCGAAGAAAGTAACTATGGCCAGTTGACTTACATTCGGGTTTACCAAGGTACTCTGAAAAAGGGGATGAACGTTTTCAACGCAAGGAACGATAAGAAAGTGAAGGTTCCTCGGATTGTGCGCATGCACTCAAACGAAATGGAGGAAATCCCAGAAATTGGCGCCGGAGAAATCTGTGCTGTGTTCGGTGTTGACTGCGCTTCTGGAGATACTTTCACGGATGGTGGCCTTCCATACTCAATGACTTCCATGTTTGTTCCAGATCCGGTTATCTCTCTTTCGATTAAGCCAAAGCAGAGCAAGGACTCCGGCAATTTCAGCAAAGCAATGGCTCGATTTCAGCGAGAAGATCCTACCTTCAGAGTCCACGTCGACCTTGAAAGTGAGGAAACAATTATCTCTGGTATGGGAGAACTACATCTCGATATTTACGTCGAGCGTATGCGACGTGAATACAGAGTTGAGGTAGAAACTGGTAAGCCACAGGTTGCTTACCGAGAAACCATCACGCAAAGTGTCAAATTCGACCACACCCTTAAGAAGCAGACTGGAGGAGCTGGTGATTTCGCTCGTGTTGTTGGATACATGGAGCCAATCCCAATGGGGCCAACTGGATACAGACCGCCGACATTCAGGGAAGAAATCACTGGGGGTTCTATCTCGGAGAAGTATCTTTATGCCTGCGAAAAGGGATTCCTGTTATCTTGCGAAAAAGGACCGCTGATCGGTCATCCTGTTCTTGGTGCCACCATGGTCGTTAATGATGGTGCTATTCATATGACCGATTCTTCTGAGATGGCTTTCAAGAACGCTACACAGCAAGCTTTCCGTAAAGCTTTCAAAGAAGCCAAGCCTCAAGTTCTAGAACCATTGATGAAGACAACCATCACCGCCCCCAATGAGTTTCAAGGAAATATTGTTGGTCTCCTAAACAAGCGAAATGCCATTATCAATGATACAGAAATTGGCCCAGAAGATTTCACTCTTATTGCGGACTGCAGTTTGAATGCTATGTTTGGCTTCAGTTCACAGCTAAGAGCTGCCACACAAGGAAAGGGTGAGTTTGGAATGGAGTTCAGTCATTATAGTCCTGCTCCTGGTCAATTACAGTAAGTGACACTTTTGTCCTTGGCCCGCTCCGTATACTAATACCATTCGCAGGAAGGAACTTGTTGCGGCGCACGAGAAGCTCCAGGCGGATAGACATAAGAAGTAAAATGCTTGTTGCTCCATGAATACCACTTCACGGGTGTCTTATTAGAATATTTGGTTTAACATTGTAGAACTGGTCCAAGCGTATAATAGAATACTACGTATGGGTGTTATGGTATGTAATGTAGGAACATAAAAGGCATGGGACGGCGTTCAATGTAACATAATGTATCATACCCCATGATCGAATACTCCCAACTCACGCAAATACTTGCCACTTCAATCCTGTGAATTCGACCAAACGACCCGCGTGACAAGTCTCCCGAGGCCAAGTGATTTGCTGCAGTCGCGACCTCACTCTATCGAAAACCACCGCAGGTCCTGACGACATATCAAAAAACTTGTAGCCTTCCATTGTAATGTATTTAGGACCGCCCATAACCTATCATTTGACCAAGTTCCTTTGAGCATTGATGTGAAGCGTCTACCACCAGTGTCCGACACAATTTTCAGCGCAGTCCAAGATCGCAACTAAAATTTCATCAGCCCGACATCTTTTCAACAAACAGCCTTCAGTTTAAACTATAGCCTAAGAGACGAAAACATATCTGTACTGCCAAATCTCAGAAATTCGGTCGTGGTCCCAAGGCATTTGCTAATAAATATTGGAGTGGTGCGTAGACAATCATGTCAGACACTCAGGTTTTTTATAAACACTTCACACTTATCTTACTCCAGAAAATGACACCAATTTCATCTCACGTCAGATGATGATTGTACTTTTGAACATGGTAAATATCCACATGTAGTCCAGTATCGTGTCACATCTTTGTCGCATTCCCAAATCCCCTGAGCTAATATAATCCTCTTCGACCACCAAACACTGGTTGTCTTCAACCACCAAACACAAGTTGAGATAAAACGACATTTCCCTATCAAACCATGGAAACCATGATTCCGAGGAATTTAGAAAAGAAAGGAAGAAAGCTGCTTACCGTACGTTGGCTAAAAAAGAATTTGGGCGCAAAAGTGTACGAATCTCGTTAATAATTCAATCCGAGAGATATAGTAGTTAGGGGAAGAATCCCCAAAAAGAAGTAAAAACTAATTTCAAGCCCTGATTCCCACTTTTGCAGTCGGGTAAGAAGTCAACAACTGCAGGGACTACAAGTAGCCCATCTGTTTTTATATAAGACAGAATGCCCGACCGAGGCAGCGCTTTCTTAATTCCGCCCTAATACTTCAGGTTTTTAGCCAATATTGCGAGCGCGCGAGGTTCAACCCAGCGAGGTCTAATTGGTTGCATATTCGTTTAAAGAAACATATATACCATTAAAAAAAGTGGGTAGGCGATCTTAACGAGGATGTGCCGAAATTGATGTTGCCGCTGATTCACTGAGACTGCGTGGAAGTCACCTTTGCCTGATACGTATGAAGCTTTTTTTCTCTCTTTAAACATGACTTTGATCAATGTATTCAAATACTAACTCTGCATTCGAAATCCTGCAATCTTTTGGATCCGAAGATGATGACATGAAGGTGATGATACTTCTGTTGAGAAGATTCCGATACTCCAAAGCCAATTAGGCGAAGGGGGTGAATGTCAACATTCAAAACCTCTCCGACCTCATCTTTTGCGAACTCCTCCTCTCTCCTTTCAAACAACGATCTTCAGGATCAACTCTCAAGATGTCTTCTTCGAGCGGCATCGTCGTTCCCCCCTCCCGCTCGCCATCTGCATCGAAGATCGCAAAGACTACACTTGAACGATTTCCACCGAAATATGCTTTAAGCTACCAGAAGAAAATTACCTATCGACACTTCGAACGCCGTCAAAAGTCATGCGCACCATTCCGTGAGCCACTTCCACGTAGATTCAGTACTGACTACAAAAGACGGTTCGGATCGATCAAGCATGACTACGACTGGATGGCTGTTCGCCTCGACCACAAGGTTTCCAAGAAAATTAGGAGGCCAAAGATGAGGTTTTGCTTCGAAAACTTGATGAGACAGAAGTGGAGCTTTGTCGATTACGCTTCAATGGTAGATGACTTGAATAAACCACTCGCCGTCGGACTGCAAGTAAAGGAGGCCTTGTTCATCCAAACGGCCATGAAAAAGTTTGAGGTCCATCTCGCCTCAAATCTGAAGAAGTCGACGACTGTAGGTCTAGACGGTATCGAGACCTTGAAAGGTAATGACAAGGTAGAGAGGAGGGATCGGGAAGACTTTGTGAGACTGATTGAGAGTGTAAGTGCTCAGTGTTCCCTTTAGTGTCTGGAAAAGTCGCTAATTGCACAGTAGGTCAAGGGCTACGACGCCCAATATTACTGGAAGGATAAGGTCAAAGTCGGCAAGCAAATGGGACAACCATTGGAGGATCAGACAGATTTTGTGAGTTCTAGGCATCGTACAAGTGAAAGCACCTCTAACACTATAAAGGACGTCGTAGCTTATTCCAAGAAACTGCAAGACCCCAATCAATTGAAGCTCACAGTGGATATGCTGCATCTCAAGGAACACAAGGATTGGAAGCTACAGTCAAAGGTCGTTCGCGACGAGGCAGAATTCGTACAGAAGCATGGTAGCGACTTCAATTACGACTCCGACCAGGATTTTGACCAAATTCCAGACGCCGACACAGAGGACGAGGACGAATCTGAGGATGAGTACGATGGATCTGAGGATGAGTATAGCCAAGGTGACGGTGAAGAGAACGAGTCTGAGGATGAGTGCAGCGAAGATGGTGATGAAGAGGACTGAAGTGGAGTATTTCTGAATCGAACCAGATGAAATCAGGGATCGAACTGTATCGACACGACGTGGTTTGGTTATACTGATGGAAATTGATGTCAAGGCTAATAAGGTCGATGTTCTCAAGATTGAGCATCCTTGTTACTGTATTCGGCAGTCACTACCGACCGCCTTAGATATTTGAATAAAGTTCTTGGTGTTTTAAGAATCGAGCCTTCCCTATGCAGGTGATGCTCGTTCTACTTCGTATAGGTTTTGCCTACCTAGTAGTAGTCGTGAGGCTAGTGCCGTAACATCCGTTTATGCTGACCCCTCGACCCTCGACCCCACCACGTCATCGCCATTACAACTTTCATGTTTACATAACCCTGTGACCAGACTCTTTCATCTCGAAATATACGATTACGCGCGATCGAAAGTTGCAGTTTCACTCCTGTCTTCCTACCGATCAACAATCCTACCAAAGAACTTCCAAAATGGCAGCATCATCAAATGTAACTTTCCCCCTCCTCTCAAAATTGCAGCAATTAAACTGAAATAGTACGATGTACTCATGTACCTCCTTGCCATCTTTTTACCTCCCGTTCCAGTCTTCTTGAAAGCAGGATGTGGAGCCGACTTCATCATCAACATCTGTCTCTCTATCTTGGGCTGGATTCCAGGAGTTCTACGTGAGTGCTTCCAATCCTAATTCCTAGGTTTTCATTGAAGAAGACGGGATTTTAGCAACGGTGCTAATTGTTGTTGTAGACGCCTGGTATATAATTGCCAAGCGAGATCCGGCAAATTATGTAGCCAAGAGGAGGGTGTAGGAAAGGCGAAGAATTGTTGAGCGATGGTTCTAGTTGATTGATTACGAGCGAGATCACGGGAAAACCTGTCAAATTATTGTTTGTGCGAAGTGGTAATGCCGGAATTTGTTTATTTGATTCCGGCATTTTTGTCACGACAGGGCTCAACGAGATCAAAGTGTACGATAGCCGGCAACGAGGAGTTGGACAGAGTTCTTAATTTGCCCCAGAGACTTCAATGGAAGAGTCCTGTCATCTTAGTAATCCTCATCATACAATGTGATTAAGTTTTCTCTTGAAATGTGAGTGAGCAGCATTAGATGATATGCATTTATGTCTGGTATATATTCCTACACCCCCTCGACTGCTCCCAAACCAAGGCCTTAGCTTCGAAACTCTTATTGCAAGCCACCCAATTCCATCAAAAGAATTTAACACGAATTTAACTTTACTGATCGCTACGTCTGATTTTATTTCCTAAAAGCCCCAGAGACGTCGCTCTTTGTCCACTCAGCTACAATATCACCATCATACACATCTCTGCTTATCGTCAAGATTCGATCCTCAACTTTCTCGTAATACTTTTCGCAGTTCTGTACCACCTTTGAAACGAGGCCACGACTAAGACCTGGGTCGTCAGCATCACCAAAATGTTTCTCAACCCGCTTTTTGAGTGTTTCAATGCCACGTCTAATTTCTTTCGAGTCGTACCCGGCGAGAATCTTCTTGAACGTCGTCTTAGAGTGACTCGGCATACTGGAAATTCGGGATGAAGATTCTCCGGGTTGTCGAGAGAGCATCAAGCTCTCCGTGCTTTCCAAAAAGTCAAGAAGTTTGCCTAATGGTCTGCGAATAACAGCCCCAAGATAGAGTGACATGTGTTCCTCCATTTCCTGTGCTGCGCTTTGCTTCCAGTCCTCTAGGACGGGATTCGAGCGAGCATCAACTTCTTCCAGATAATGGTTCATGTTTTCAATTAGAAGAATCTGGTAATTGAGGGCCTCCTTGTCTTCTGGGTCTGCGCCAGCGGTTTGCGCTCCGGGATTCTCCCTGGCAATGACTTTCAGGGACTCGAACATTGCTTTGTTGATACGAGCATATGCTCGGTTTACGGTCTCGCGGATTTCCAGGTCACCTGCCGAGGCAAGCATAGTCTCAAGTGACAGCGAGAATGAGGGAAATATGCGGATAAAGCCAATGACGCCCTTGCGCTTCTTGATTTTGACTTTGGTGTCTTCAATTGCCCGGATCTGTTCATCGAGGAATTTGTCGAACAGGCTGACGAGCTTGGTATGAACTTTCTGCAAAGTGCGCGAAAGGAATTCCTGGCTAGACTCTTCAAAGTCGACAAGCTTACGCTCGACGGCCACGATAACACCCACACCCTGTCTAAATGAGAGTCAGCGAAGTTAAAGTCACATGATTAGGAAAAACTTACAATGGATCGGCTTGGATAGACCAATCTACAAGCGACTGGATGTCGCCAGCGAAAAAAGAATAGACCTCTTCCATTGACTGTATCACGAGCTTTGCCAAATCTCGGTTAGGATCCATAACACGAGGACGCCGCAAATCAGCGCCGTGCCTTCTGTCGGGAGTTGCAGACGCGACTGCGTCAGGAAAGTCGAGCTGGTCTAAAGAAGTGACGTGAAAGAACTCTACTATGAAGTTCTGTTCCATGCTCATGATAGGAACCATTTCATCAAGCGCTCCACCAAACACTTCGTAAGGCTGGAGGCGCCCGTCAGACCTGTCAATGGCAGTTTTGCTACCATTGTCACCTATAGGAGATCGTAGACTCTTCGCGAGGGTTTGACTTCGCTTGACTGTTAGCTTTCGAGCAGTCGTAGTAATACTCTGTTCTTGTTTTTCAACTTGCGAAGTAAACAGGACGTCGGCTTCATCTCCAGTGGGTTTCCTGGCTATGCGCTTCCATGCAAATGTAGCATCTCGGAATTCGTCTTGGTAAAGGGGTTTGCAAATCGTTTCGTAAGTTTTGATGAGCTCTTCCCACTCCGGCTTATCAACCTCCCGAGCAAATAACATCAGAGGGCTATATCTCCAGAGCAGTTCGCGAGAAAGGTCATGATTTCGAGGGTCGAGCTTAACCTTACCTGCCGCCCGGGTTAGATTGCTTCCCTTTTCTCGTTCGAGAGCCTTTCGCGTTTCATCAACAGCCGCACCAAACTTGACTTGTAAAAATGGCCGTAGCCGACGCAGAAACATGGCACTCTCGTTCCTGTACACATCTTTCTTTTCCTGCAGAACACGCATGCTACCAATCTCTGAATTACTGAAAGCACCGGGTTTTCCTGAGACCATCGACCCATCTTCACTCGCTCGAGGAGCCGAAAGACTGAGAGACGGATCTATGGTAAGCATTGCCTTAAACAAGGTCACCAAAGACGATTCAATCTGCTCCAGACCACTAGGTGACTCTAAAGAAGCTTCACGTAAGCTCCCAAGTTGTTCCGACGAAATGGAAATGGTGTCCAGCAAGGATTTAAGTTCGGCTTGCAGTAGTCGCTGATTGGCTGTCTGTACCTGGAGACCTTGTGATTGAGCTTCGATATATGCTATGTCTTCATTGAGAGTCTGGTTTTGTCAGTAAGAACATGACTCTTTCACAGCAGGACTTACGCTTAGTTCAACTGAATATAGCGTCAGTAGACCATCAAGCTCCTCGCACTCTTCAATGCACTTGTCAAGACCATTCTTGATACCCTCGATCCGATCATCTTCCTCGTCCATTCGTGATAACCAACCACCAGCCTGGACCTTGTTGAGTTCTCTATCAAGCTCGTCTTGCATCTGATCCATATTTTTTGTACGTATACCATCACCAACCCAGCCGAATTGCTCCCACAGCTCCACCAAATCGCTCCCGCGCCCACCAAGGATGGTGGTATCTACGCCCAAAGATGCAAGCTCCTTTTGCATGGTCTCTGAGACGGGTTTCGGCCTGCGAGGCTCGCGGGATTTTGGCTTGTCCGTTGAAACAATTTCTTGAGCTGGTTTTACAGGACCTTCAACACTTGAAGGGCGTCCCGGTGGGACAGTGATCTTGACTTCAGGTATGCTGTCATTATGTTTGCGCGGCGATGGCTTCCCTGGCGATGAAATCGCCGGCTGAGGAGCGCTTGTGTTCTCGGTGCTAAGTCCTCGTACAAGTGACGGAGCCGGTACAACCTCTGTCATTACATCTGGGCCACCAAATTTATTACTTTGATCGAGGCCCCGAAGACGCTCCGCTGCCCCGCCAGCTCGGGGTTTGAAGCCATTTGCGGAAGTGTTAGCAGTTTTTGCTATTCGCGCAAAAGTGCTCGCAATGTCCTTTGAAGATTTTTTCTTCACCATAGGTCCCAAACCGGGACGTACCTCTTGCTCCGGAGTTGCTGGAGGTAAAGGACTGACAGGTGATTCTGCCACTTCAGGCACGGGTGGAACCTGTGGCACTTGAGGCTCGTCCACAGATGGGCGGGTAGAAATGGATTGAGTCGATGTTATGGTTGGAGTGCTGTTAGAGCTCTTAAATGAATCAGCTCTATTAGCTGACTCCGAGGACTTTCGGGGTGTCCCTATTCTTACAGGCGCTGTCGCCTCCGGCCGTGGACTGCGTAGCGGCATATCGGACGGCGTTATCGACCGGTCACTGCTCCGTGTCGGGGGACGAAGGTCATCTCTTCGCATGTTAGGACTGACCAACGGCGCCGGAACGATATTCTCGCTAGAGGCTTGATTCCGTGGCCGAGAGGAATCTGAAATGTTTGGCATTGGCGGCCTTCTTCGCTCTGGCGGGAGAGATAATGGCGCCGGTGCTGGTAACGGGGGCGCGTCTACTTCAACTTCTCGTGTAGTTGTGAGAGAACTATCTGGAGTTGCTGCTCGAAGTGAGTTTGGTGTCATACTGCGATCCTGAAATCTTCCCGGAGTACTTGGCAAGCCATTCTGTCCATTCCAGGAACGTGACGACATAGAATTTGCTATGTTGTCGTCCGCTCTCCCAAACGATTCTTGACTCTGATTTGAAGCACCTATTTTGCGTAAAGGAGCCGTACTGCTAGATTCGATACTCCCAGCTGGCGAGTCTTCTCGACGGCTGCGTGATGGCGGTCCATTTCTTCCTGATCCGGGAGTGAACGGGGACGTGGCACTGAGGGGTAGTGGTGGCACTTGTCCTGGAGGAGGCCGCATACGTTCATTTGATGGCTCCCGTCTCATCTGTCTATTTTGCGGTTGAGGGGAAGGCTGGCCATATGAAGGACGAGGAGGAGGTGGGCCGGCGGGCTGTAGAGAAGGGGGAACCGGGCGTGTTACAGCAGCAGATACTCCAAGCAATTGATCCCTTTCCTTCGGTTCAAACCCATCTAGAGTTGGACTTTTACCCCCTGTATACTTCGTGTATATTTTGACGAGACTTGCAATGAAGAACTGTTTTTCTTTGGCGGTATTGGCCTGCCAATAATATGGTTTGCCAATGATCACTGTAAACCCTTGCCCACCAGCCCATTTCTTATGATTCTCCTCCTCGGGATTACTAGGAACAAGGCCCGTGTAGGATTTCACTCCAGTCAAATCATCTAAGATCCAGGTTTTACCTATTGAGAAGGTCCCATTGCCGTTTTCTCTCGTCTTGTGCATTCGGACCCGTCCTGATTTTCGCACCGCTACAATGATGAGCCGGGGTTTCTTGGAGTCGGGATTCGCGTTAGGCGGTGGCGGACTGGTAGGATAGGCTGCATCTTCTGTGATCCGTATATGCGTGATGTACGACTCTAGCACTGCATTTTGAAAGTTAGTAGCTGTTCGTAGTAGTGAGCAGCATTCTATGGGGGTACGTACATGACCCATCCTCCGCATCTTTCTTGCCGAAGCAACTGTCTATTATCCTTCGCTTCTCATCTTCAAATCTCTCAGCACGATTCATTCCATTGCTCATAATGCTATTGCTGGCCCCGCTAGAGATTGATCCCTCCATTTGGCGGAGCCACGTCTTTCAGGCGAAGGGAAGCTGGTGTCCACTCAATCATCTACATGCGCCGGCAGGTAGACTGTTAAATATGGTGAAGCTCGAGCTTCATAGCTGCGCGCAATCCAAATACTTCGTACTCGATGGAGGGTAATCGGATAGTAGCATATATGGCGATAGGAGTTGCGATTTCATGCGCGTTGGGGTTGACTCTCGAGTCCTGTCTGCATCCCTGACGTCTGGCACTTGGACAAAACGGGTGTCGGTGCGTGCCTGTCGTGCAAGCGTCGTGGCTAAATCAAGGACTCTTCTTGGGAACATTTCCACACGAGCTACAGATACATTTTTCATAAATCGGGCTTCATCGACTCATTTAAGACTACTCAAGCTAATTGTCATTATTTTGAGTTGCAACTAAATTTGGGCGGAACCTTCATATGACAGTTATGCAATAACAACAGCGACATTGGAGGTCTTTAGTATTTCAACCTTGATTCGGCAACTTTACTGTATCAATCCTTTAATTTCCGTTGGAAAATTTCCAGGTTGTAACCTACCTGGGTACTCTTTCTAGACTAATAAGAGCGCAGCAGCTAAACTGAATAGATGTACAATCTATTATGATTTCTACTTTCGTACCTTGCGTTCCCAGGTTCATTTACTTCCTAAGTCTCCACATTACTTATCCGCTAGCTCTTCACAGCTAGCGCCTTCCCCCTCGCTTCGCGATAAGTTGCGAACTTTTTTTTCGGATCGCGATAAGCCCCAAATTTTCTGAGTTCACAAGCTCGCCTTTACCTCACCTACGGACAAGATCAATTACGCTACCCAACATGGCTGGCAACCCAAACATGCAAAAGATCGGAAAGAGGAAAAATCAACCTCCTCGAGAAAAAGCAGATTGGCTTTTCCCTGCCTCCGATCCATCAAAAACCACATCAAAACAACCGCAGGCGCAAAAAACCAAACAGGAGAAGAAATTAGCAACTGAACTACTCAAACGCGCTGCTGGTACCTCTGCTACTATGCCTTCTTCTCAGCTTCTCGATCTCGTTGGCGCGTTTCTCTCTGAACACGAGTTTACTGGTACAAGTCGAACTCTGCTCACCGAACGGAGACAGCGAGGAGAACCAGCAAGCCACAGCTCCCCTAACACCCCGCCGCTTACCACCATATTTGATGAGTGGGTAGCCCTGAAGGAGACGAAACCAGCGGTAGTAGAGGTGGTCAACAATGCTACCAAAACGTCTACAAAAGAGAAGGAGCCGAAGAAAACCAAGGCAGAGAAAGTAAAACAAGCCAAAGCGCAACCCGCAAAGTCAAGCAGCAGTGATAGCGATAGCTCGGAAAGCGAGGCCAGCGATGTCGAGATGGCGGACGCGCCACCGGTTAAGAAGGGATCTAGTCGAAAGTCGGCTTCGTCCTCTTCATCATCTTCCGATTCATCGAGTAGCTCAGACAGCGATGCGGATGACGAAAAAGAAGTCCCATCCACCAAAGCCGCTTCTCCCAAACCGAAAGCGAAATCTTTGAAGCGCAAGGCATCCTCACCAAGCGATTCTTCATCAGCTGCAGATTCCAGCTCAGAAGATGAAGCCCCCAAGACGAAGAAAGCGAAAGTAGCAGTCAGTGCTTCATCAGATAGCAGTTCCTCCGATTCGTCATCCGATTCATCCTCAGAGGAAGAGGAGACTGGAAAAAAAGAGACAGTCAAAGGCGATGCAGACTCATCTTCAAGCGACTCTTCTGACTCGTCATCGGATTCAGAATCGGGCTCAGACGGCAAGGTGAAAGTTGAGAAAGGCGCAAAGACTTCGGAATCATCCGACAGCGATTCTTCCTCTAGCTCAGACTCGGATTCAGATAGCGACTCTGACTCTTCCACTCAGTCGAATGCTCAAAAGGTTGCTCTGCCAGATTCTGAGTCGGAGTCATCAGATTCCGATAGCGACATGGAAGATGAAGCAAAAGTAACCGGGACTTCTGACACAAGCGCCACTCTCTCTGATGGAGCTAAAAAATCAGCCTCTTCCGACTCTGATTCGGATTCCTCGTCGTCCAGCGAATCTGATACTGATCCTAAACCTGCCAAAACAAAGAAAACCGTCGTCATCACAACCGCTATGGCCATTGATCCACCATTACCACCTGAGCCGGTCAAGAAAAACACGAAAAAGTCGAATGCTCCCTTCTCCCGAATTCCAAAGGATACAGTTGTTGATGAACGATTAGCGAGTAACGCATACGTCCCGTACGACTATGCTCAAAAAGCGCACGAGGATCTCATCGTGACTAGAGGGAAAGGATTTACCAAGGAGAAGAATAAGAAGAAGAGAGGAAGTTACCGGGGCGGTTTCATCGACGTCGAGGGGAAAAAAGGAATCAAGTTTGAGGACTAGGCGTGTAAAAGCGAGAGGATACCCTCAGGCAACTGCATTGGCGGCAAAATATTTTTCTGGAGAAGGGCGTTGTAGGAGTTTGTTACTTTGTTCATTGGCGACTTGTAGAATAGAATCGTCGCCATGATAGTTGTATCTCGCCTCGATGATACTTTGTGTCGGCTTCAAGCGCAGCGTTAATTTAGACCCGATTGCTTTTGCTACCATATACCACTTGAGAGATTCTCTTTACGCTTCACTTTGCTCTATTCTTAACTCACACTCGCTACCGAGTAGGTATCGAACAATCACCCGAGGTCGTTCTATGCCATTAGCGAGCGTAATTCCCGGTGGATTGCCTTGTTCCAGTCATTCGGTATTATGTTCTCAGATAATTTAGGCGTCAATGAGGCTCGGCCGAGTGCCAAAGAATTTGGTTAGTCGAGCAAGATGTGTCTTACCGGATATGTGGTTCGTGATGGAGGGTTGTCTGCCCGCTCAGCAGCCTTGCTTCAATGAGTAAAGGCGGCGTTCCGAGGCTTCATGAGTATAGGTCTGCTTACTCGTAGATGGGCAAGTACTTTGTGCGAGGTTCGCTGCTTTACTCTTCTACGAAATAGAGGTCTCCACGTCCCTCGCCAGGGGTGTGGAATACCAATTGCGACATGCGGCACCGACAATCTAAGCGCGACTGGAATTAAGCTCACGTGACTCCGTGAGCAACTAAATCTACGACTAACACGACCCCTGCCTACAGCACGTGTCCGAGCTTTGTTACTGTCTCTCGGCAAGATCTCGCGTCAGCCTGATTGTGCTTGAATCACTCACCACGAGTTCGAACATTCATCTCCAACTATCTCACGCGCGCGCCATCATCATCTGCATTTTTATCTGGCCCATGTTGCCGCCACGAGCTACATCGCTACCCGCCGAAAGCAGTCGGTACTTGTGGCATCTTCGATATCCAACTGAAAGTGACATTCTAGGTCTCCAACGCTGGCCCTGTCTAAACGTGCAGCCAATCAGCTCCCAATCGCACCGTGGCTGAGCAACAAACAGTTGACCAGGGTGACAAGGCACGACCTGAATGTGAACAGCTTCGAGTGCGTGAATCTGATGAGCGAGCGCTTTACCGCACCATCGTCCTCGCGCTGCTCCGTGTGCGCAGTTTGTGAATGATATAGACCGACCAGGCCTGCCCTCGCTATGAACGTTGGTGATCAACCCATTAGACTCACAGCTAGACGGAGACCATCGCGCAAGGGCTTCAACACTCATAACCCAGCGGAAGGCTGAATGGAATGGGCGTTCTTTGTTCCACTGTTGATAAAAACGGGGACGAGCCTTCTGAGGGCAAGGCTCAAGGTCAACATTTCACTCTCACACCTCATCGACTTCACAAGATGCCCAAGTTCGTCGCTGCTACCAAGGAAACCCGGTCGGCAGTCAAATGGGAGGAACGCATTCTCAAGGGTGACGAGTATGTAGATGTTAATGATTACGAAAAGGCTAGGGCACAGCTGCAGCTAGCTGAAAAACGCAGCAATTTCGACGCTGAAATTGCATCAAACCCTTTGGAATATGAAGAGGCAGCTGCGGAACTTGTAAGAAAGATTCGGATGCACGACTGGCAAACGACATACCAGGTATCACATGATGAGAAAGGACATCCAAAGAAACCGCGGCCTAGGGGAGATCACTTCCTGGGCAATGTCGACCTTATCCAGAATACAGAGCTGTTCAAAGTAGCGAGAAAGATGCCCAAAGGCGCCCATCTCCACGTACATTTCAACTCATGTCTTCCGGCTGACTTTCTGATCCGGCAAGCAAGGGACATTAAAGCTATGTATATCAAGAGCAACGTCCGTCTAACACCAAAGGACCCTCAAAGTTTTGTGAACTCACGGATTGCCTTCAATGTGATGACGGAAAACAACGCAACACGATACAGGGATGCCAACGGTGCTGAATTTCGGCGGCCACTTGGGAATATATTTAGTGCTGGCTATATTCCCGATACATGGATGAGCTATAAGGAATTTCAAAAGGGATTCCTCTTTGACGATAAAAATGGCCGTACACTTAGAGGAACTGATGGGGCCGAGAGCTGGTTAGAGCAGAAAATGCTCATTTCGGAAAGTGAGGCCCATGGAATACACCAGACAAGTCATGGGTAGGAGCACTTCCCAAATTAAAGGCAAGTTGACTAACATTCTATAGCATCTGGGAACAATTCAATTATCGCACTCAGATGATGAAAGGCTTATTTGCATATGAAGCCGCATTCCGCTCATATACTCGCGCCTGTATTCAGGATTTCGCCGATGACAATATTCAATATGCCGAAATACGGCCAAACTTCATGTATTCGAATTCCTTAAAGTCAGACGATGGTCAAAAGCTGTATGAAAACCGGGATATCGTCAAGATTATCGAAGAAGAACTCAAAACACAGAAAGCGGTGATTAACTCCAGAAATGGCCAATACTTTGGAGGCATGAAGGTCATCTATTGTACTCCACGATCGTTTTCCAACGAGGAGGTCAAACGATCTTTGAATGAGTGTATCGATTTAAAAACAGACTTTTCCGATCTGATATGCGGTAAGAATCACGACTTGAGCGATTTGGTAAAGTTGTACAATTGCTAATTTTTAATACAGGTTTTGATCTTGTCGGTCATGAGGAAATGGGCAATGAGCTGCACAATTTTATACCCGAATTCCTTGAATTTCAAAGAGATTGCAGAGGTCGAAGCAAGCCTGGTCGACCGTTCGAAATACCCTTCTTGTTTCACTGCGGGGAAACTTTGAGCGTCGGCGGCAAAGTTGATGGCAATTTGTATGATGCTATTCTGCTCAATTCGAAACGTATTGGTCATGGTTACGCTCTTGCAAGGCATCCTTTCCTGATGAAGTATTTTAAAGAGAAGAACATAGCTATAGAGTCATGTCCTATTTCTAACGAAATACTGGGGCTCACGCCTGCAATCGCGGGACACAATCTCCCTATACTATTAGCAAACGACGTTCCATGTACGATCAACAGCGACAATGCCACTTTCTACAGGTAACTTGGTCTCGATTTGTTCACAAATTAATGCTAACGAGACGCTCAGATCCTCACTTTCGCACGATTTTTATCAGGTCATGATTGGTTCAGAATCGATGAGTCTTTATGGATGGAAACAACTCGCTAAATGGAGTTTGGAACACAGTTGTATGAATCCGCAAGAAATGATTGAAGTTACCAGCGTGTGGGAAGCGAAATGGGCAGAGTTTTGCAAGTGGATCGTAGAAACATACGGCCCGATGTTTGCTGACGGAATAACGACAAACGATGCGGCCTCAACAAATCATGCTCACCTCTGAAGGGCATTGCTTCTTGAGAAATGTCTCTCAAGATCTCTCTAGCAATTCAGAAGGCCGTCAACGAAAGTGCCTCATCCTTCAGCATATATATCATTACTACCAGAGGCTCCATCATCATCAGTACAAGATCCCAATGCCTGATAAATTACAGGATTAGGACGGAAGTTCGGACACTTCATAGTCGTGTCGGAAATGATGGGAATGCCAGTCTGCCGCCGCTTCCTTATTTGAGTAGTTGTAAGCTCTCAACGAGTTTCTCTCAACTTCAAAGGCGGTTACATAGCATGGTTTCTTCTTCCAAGAATCACTGCCCTTACGATATTGGTATCTTGGGTAGACCTACTGGTTAACGCTTTACTCATAACGAGATCTATGCCAATCACCGGCATAGCAGTGGCGCACCCGGTATGGAATATGCCACGTTAATGATATCACACCGTTGTAAAATCATATTCACATGATCTCATGCTTCCAAACCTCCTTTACGAGCTTAAAGAATTTCTATTGCTGCATTTAAGCATGTAATATTTATATTAGAATTAGATCTCTGGGAGGTTTACAGGAAGGGCGTCGAAGCTTCGTCTTCCACCATTCAGTATTAGTCGTCCGATTAGGTTTTAAGATCAATCTTTAACCACATTATATTATATTTTTATAGCAAGTTCTATTTCCACATACATACTTCAACTCTCTAAGTTACAAGAATCAAAAGTGAAAAAAGGTCACGTTCATGTACCAACCCCAAAACTTTGCCCAAAACATGTGCAACTGCGGCTGAGCCTCCTTTCTTTTTTCCAACACAAATCTTGGCACCACACAATTTCTTCTTCGAACTTTAGACCCCTCCTTGTCCCACCTGCACCCCATCGATTGGGGATCCGTGAATACAGCCTAGCTGCTGCAGAGTGGCAGGGCATTCATAGACAATTCTGAGACTCAGGAGAAGCCTTGTGCATATGGTAGGTTTTGAGGATGTCTTTCATAAATCCGGGGTGAGTCGTTACTGTATTCTTGTTTCCTTTCGTTTCGTACTGGGTTGTGATTGAGGTTTCCACCTGACTTCATTATTGTAGAATTTGAGGAAGGTGTTTTCATTATTTACTTTGAATTTTCTGGAAGTATAAGGCTGGGAAGTTTTGCTATCGGTGCTTGGGCGACCTAAACAGCATCGTCAAGATGGGATCTTGGTTTGCGAACGTGAGGGCGCCGAAGGAGGGATGGAGACTGGATATTGTATCGCTATTGGCAGTCATTGGGGAAGGGAGCATGGAAGCACATATGCAACCCATGACTTCAAGTTGGACATGTTAGTATATTCTCAATTGCGCGATACGCGTCAAAGAAACAGAGCTAATCCTTCACAGGCATTCTCCCTCGAATAATGCCAGCTCCCCAAGCTCTCCTCAAACCAAGTCGACCAACACGAATGCCCTCATTTCCTGCATCCGTCGTCGGTGTCAGTAACGGCACCTTTGTGCCTGTCCTCAATTTCTTCCCAAGCATCATCCATCCTATCGACGACCTACCAGCATTCGCGTTTAAACTCCTACAAATCAAACGCAAAAGCGATATCCGACCCAGCGATGCCGAACCGACGACAAGTGAGAAGACAATAGTGTCAGGAAATGACGCCGGGGGGGAGGAAGCTCAAATATTCGAACCCACAGTGCGGCGCCGCGAGTCTACGTTGAGACAAATCACCAAGGCGGCTACGAAGGTGTTACTTTCTGCGGAGCCACATATACCGACCAAGACATTCTCTCCCCTTAATGTGTTATCAGTCATATCCTGTTTTCTCACGATAGGACTGTTAATATGGGCGGCTCTCATCGAAGACGGGACCGCCTGCGTAGCATTAGGAAGCATCTCCCTAGCATCCTGCATCGTGGGATACGGATCATGGTGGTCACCTATCCTAAAACAACGAGTATTCCACGGCTACGTCCCAGCTGGCGACGTCGTCATCCGTACTCGTGAAGGAGCCTTCATAGTTGTAAAATGCGACGAAGAAGTAGCGCGCGAACTCTACACCGGAACAGAAGAATGCCATTACTGGACCTCCACCAAAATGTACCGCGTCCTCGTCGGTATCGGCACTTTCCTCCTCATGATCTCGGTTGTGCTTCTAGGCAATTGCGATTTCCCAATGCAAGCCGCAATCGGCGGGTCGTATATCGCTCTGAACGGCGCCTTCTGGCTCATCTCCCTGTTAGGCAAAGATGCATTCTGGGATATGTCCGTCTACGAATGCACAGACATAACACCCTCAGACGCCGCATTCGCAGAAGAATCCCACCCCCCAGACGTCGAAGGCATCGCGAGCTACACACGCAGCCTCTGGTACGCGATCCGCGAAACCGGCGGCGAAACAGCATGGGCTCGCATCAGCGGCGCGGCCCCCCAGACCAAGGAATGGCGGGATTGGCTTACTGAAGCGGGCGAGAAAGCGAAAGTTTCGGAGAGATATTGGCCTGCGGTGGAGCGACGCGGCGTGCTTATTGGGACGGCGGATCCGGCGATCAGTGATAGTATTCATGGGCCCAGTAGAGAGGATTCTGGGTTTCCGGAGCAGCATGCACCAGCGACGCAGATTCCGCCGCCAGCTACAAGATGAGCGTTGATCTGCTTAGACCTGAAAGCTTTGGGCGAGTCTTTCTGTTGCTCATATAGGAGAGAGAGTCAGACATCACCTTTCTGGCTAGACTTTGGAACGCTACTCAATGTCAATCCAACAAGTGTTTTGATAATACGAAATTCCAGCGACATCTGCCATACGGCAAGTAGTTGCATTGCACGAATACATAGTGGAGAATGGACGGCATGCATGAAAGAATCTACGGGCTCTGTTCTCAAGCTTGTATTGCTATGTTAAAAAAGGGATCAGCATTGGATGGATTGGGAAAAAGTTGGGCATGGAAAAGAGGGAAGTTTTATATTGGCAAATCTTGCCTATTAGATGATGAAATGAAATAATGATCTGAGACACCAGTCGAGAACCATCTTATGAATTCGTATTTGACTTGTGTGATTCTTGAACGCACTGGACGATATTTCTTTGTCTGAAGCGAGAAATTATGGCGATGTTTGGAACTGGTTCATCTCTTGTATTATTGTTGCGGTTTTGGGTGTGTAGAGAGTGACAGCTTTCGAAGACAATAGTGTATTTAAAGGAATGATTAAGCGTGTCATATTAACCACGATTTACTTGGAGTAGCGATGGACTAGGCCGAGTAGAGAACGCGCACCTACTGATCGTAACTGCAACTAATCAGATTCTGTTCAAGGCAACCTAAGAGACCATTAAGACGCTACGAATAAACCACGGCAACCAACTTCCCAATGTTTTCCCCAGGTCAATTCGCTCATACCATCGTCTCATTAACCTGACATCCCCATACTTCCGTGAACGGCACTGCAGTCATATCCAAAACCAATTGCAATACTAAATGATTTCATAGATTTGTTTTAGATGCCTACCTACATACAACCATGACCCCACCAAATCCAATCCCACTAATCAACCCCATCCAATCCATGCCCAAATCCTCGAAAGAATCAGCTTTGCGCCAAATACACCAAATCGCCTTTAGATCCCACAACTCAGGCATCAACTGAATACCGAAAGACACAAAGAAATCATGAAGTGCAAAATCTATACAAGAGAACACCAACCCCAAATGACAGATCCAATAATACAAGTCCCCAATCACCCAAACCCTTTTGAGTCGCATAGCGTCACACGCCTAGGATTATATCCATCCATAAATCAATCAAATCCCAAAATCCAAATCCACACACGTGTTTCATATCCCTAATCGTAATCATCATCAATACTCATACCCTTCATCATCATCATCCGCATTTCCCGCTCTTATCCTATTCCTAGCACTCTTCACACCAGCACCATAAAGCATCGCCATGCGATTCCCCTTCTGCTTCTGTCTCACCGCGCCCAAATAACTCGAAACCTCTTCCAACCCTCTAATCTGCGCCTCAATAGTAAGTGAACTACCATTCGCGCGCACCAACGGACTAATAAGTTTCCGTCTAAGCGATTCAAGATTCGCTTTCAGCGCTAGAAGTTTGCCGTTATGTTCCATTAGCACGGATTTATTCATGAGGGTCTTGGCGCGGATGTTGGCGAGGTGTTTTTTGTTGCGCTCGAACTTTTGGAGCGTGCTGGCGTTTGCGCCGAGGATCTTGGTCCAGAGGCTGGAGAGCATGTCTTCTTGCGCTGCTTCTTGCGCGGAGAGCTCGCGGACGACGGTGCGGGCTAGGTTGTGGAATTGCTTGTCGATGGCCTCAAAGAGGGCGAAGAGGGCGAGAGAATGTTTGAGTTCCGAGTTGATGGACTCTTCTAGGATGTTGAGGAATTCGGTGAATGTCCTCTGGAGAGTCTGGCGAGTCTGTTGTGGGTTGGTGAGGCCAAATACTCTTGTTGTGAAGACCCCAAGACGGGTGGGGTCGCCCGAACCATTCTCTAGAAGACCAGTTCGAGAGAGAAAGTCATGCATATTGTCAAACGCTGCCGTGATGGCAGACGGGTGCGAGCTTTGAATTTGGGCAAGCTCGAGACGGGACCAGTCCATTACTATTAGGATCCTGTAACAAGTTAGATTTGCAGAACATCTGAGGATAGAATACCCACGCATCGACATCGCCATCCACATTTGCGAAGAATGTTGTAAGACTGACAGCCAACTGCTTCAGGCTCTCGCTTAGTTCATCTAGCTCCTGAGCGATGATAGGCCCAGAAGTCATGTTAGTAGATCGAATACTCTCTCCAAGATCCCATACTGCTACACCAGTCTGATGAAGATCATCGATCTGGTAGGCACCGTTCTCTGAATAATATATCAGAGGTTCGAAAGCCTTAGCAAGACCGGCTACTTTGACCAAGTCGGGTACTGGTGCCGAAATGGGCGCCATGAAGATTGTGCGATAAAGAAGCACTGAAAGGAAGGCGATCAATGCAGAAACTGCCATAGATGTTTTCGATCTTGTGATTCGAGCCAATCTACCACTGACAGCCCGAATAGCATCTTCATATGGTTGTGTACGGTGTTGTAGTTCTGCTTTGAGTTGGAATCTGATATCTGCAGCTCCAGTTAGCGAAAGTATAAAACGGGTCATTTGCTTTTTCTTACAATTGTTTGAATCTTCGTGCGGTGTTTCCGTCTGCTCATGCTCCTGCTTAATGAAAGTGCCATCAAAGGCAGTAGTTGCAATAGGAGCGAATGGCGCTGGAGTCGCATGATAGGGTGCTGGGCTCGGACTTCGTTGTTTCTCAGGGCTCAGTGATCCGGAAGGCAGTCTTGTCCTAGCAGCCATCGCTAGAGTATCGTCTCCATCTTCGGCACTCTCATACTCAGGACTGCTGTCTCTCGAGTCAAAATGCCGTTTTCCGAGTCCGCGACCCAAGCTACTAAGAAAGCCGTTTTTGCTTTCGGCTGGGTCGCGTCTCCAAGCGGGTGGACTGAACCTCCCTGCTGATGCCGACATCCCCAAATCCGAGCTGCTGTCGGAGCGGAAGCCAGAATGATGAGACGGGTAGCCGAAGCTGTGTGGGCTCGTTGGGGGTTCGCTGTTTCGGTGCTCGCAATCGTTCATAGACGCGCCTATGGATGGATTGTCGTAGAACACGTCTTCCAGTTCCTCCATCGTTACGGCGCTTCTGTTCGTTGAGCGTTTGTGGCTCATCGTTGACAATGGACCTGCTCTGAAGGTGGTATTGATGGTGTGCTGGTGGGTTGTTGCGAACGTGGAGAACGTAGAGGTATGCGAAGAGGAGGATGATGATCGCAAGAGTTGCACCCGGCCCAACTGTGAGAGATATAAGAGAGAACTGGACGTGATTCTCTATCGTGAATATTGACATGACAACAATCCCGCGCGCCGCTGTTATGGGAGCAACATGTGACGCTGGTTCACTTTTGTTGCCGGTGGGACGACGGTTCACCTTGAGATGAGTGCTGCGCTTGATAGAAGAGGAGTTTCCGGTGTCAATTCCAGAGCGTGAATCGAGAAGATGATGCGAAAGACCAGGAGTTGCGCCGAAAGGACCTAGGTAGTTCTTAGGTGATGTATCTGGTTGCTTGGTGGAGGTGGAGGGGTTGTTGATACGCAGGTCGAGGAGTAGGTCGGGTCAGTAGAAGGAGACAAAGTTTATTCACCAACCACCAGCATTATTGCAGCAGCTTAGACATCGGCGGACAGACCCCACCCTGTGCATCTCCTGGTCCCGATCTGAGTTTCTTAGCTGCTCTGGACGGTGGTGCTTCTGCGCTGGCTGTAAAGAAGGAGGTTGGGTGCCGTGGTCCAATCACTTATCACTTATCGCTTGCCAGCAAGGGCGGGGTGGTCGACTTCATGCGACCCTCACCAATGAAATGGCTTGGATTTTAACCACATAAAACCATTCCAGCATCTTCAACGGGATTCATTTCGACCTTATAATTTGTACGGGATTGGAGGTAATTCTCCTTTGGTTACCCGCTTGATAGGTCACAGGTTTGTCAAAAAAATATAAAAATCACCTGTATTGGACCATATTTGGTCAAACGGGCCATTTATGCCTTCACGATATGCTACGCTACAACTATGCTATGTCGCCGGAGGCCTTTGCTCTCTCGGTCTTCCAGAAATCTATATTACAAACATTCAAGGCTTTTCCATCCCTTGCTCGCCGTCCCACATGCCATTGTAGTATTCTGCAATCCACGCCTCTTGATTTATCCCTTCTTGGATTTTGGCGTCGACATGCCGACAACACTCTTTAGATTCATCCGTCCATGACCATTATGTTACTGGCCCAAGTGAGCCCAAATCACTTTGTTGATGAGATAGCACTTCGATAATATTCAAGGCTGAGATCAACGCTATGTCGAAGGTAGTTATCTTCAGTCAGAGGTAGCCGCAGGATCTTTGGCAAATCCGCTTTCTGTACAGTTGTTAGTTTTGTTCAGTCTACAGCACACAAGAGCGAATACACACCTCACCCATCTTTCCCAAAGCGACCACCTGCTTCGCGACCGTCCCACTGATCGTCTCCACTGCTACCGTTTCCATAAAACTTGGTTTCCGTGACTTCTCAACGACAGCAGGCAGGCCAGAAAGCAATCTGTCCAAAGCTTGGAGATCGACTTTGTGGCCGTATTTCTTCTGCGAATCCAAGAGTGTAAGAAAATCGGAATAGATTTGGCCACCCAGGTGCCACTCAGAAATCGTATCTTCTTGGCCCTTGAAAGAGTCGAGAAGTGTTCGGAGAACATCATAGTCGAGCTCAACAATTGTCTTCGGCGCTACCTCTCTGGCGAATGTGTGATGTGCTTCGTTGAACGAACTGGCTTTGATCAAGCATTCGACTTCTTTTGTAGGGTTCCTTTCGACGCTACGCATGTACAGAGCCTTGGCCTCCCAAATCCAAGGGATCGGAATCTTGAAAGACTGGCTAAGTACGTTGAAAGTCTGACTGTTTTCGGCACCAATCCCACCTGCAAACTGAGCAAGGATATCCTGAATCGATTTCGCTCTCGGATCAGCAGCGGAAAGATGGAGAAGAACAAAGATAGCGTCAAGCCAACTACCTTCATTGGTGAGTTGCGCAGCGAACGAAAGGGTAAGCTCGTCCAACGTGTGAGTCAACTCATTTTCCCTCGCTTCATCGACAGAGCTAACAACACCAGCATTTGTAAGAGCTTGAGCGAGTTGCCAACTAAGGCGGAAATCGACAGGCGAGAGTTGCGAATTCGGCGGGCACAGTACCGCTTGTATCTCAGCGTTGCTGAAAGTGTGAAGTTTCAAAAGACCATAGAGCAAGTCTTCTCGGTTGTCTCGCTCTTCATCCTCCCACAAGGTAGGTATTCTTTCTTCAACATACCAAGCCTGGGGTCGAGCACTCTCCTTTCCATTGACGATGTCGTCGGTAAAGAGCTCCACGGTGGCTTCAATGGGTTCACTTGGAAGAGCACCGTACCACAGACGCAACCCAAAGGCTTGTTTCCAGTCAAGTCCGAAGCGCTTGGAAATACCAAATGACTCCACACGATCTTCGCCCTTAACACCTTTGGAGCCTGCACAGACCGCAACATTGCCAGCGAGCAGTTCGTAGAGCGCCCGAATCGCTTCACTAAAGTCTGATAGCATGTTGTCTTTCTGCCAATCTTGCAGTTGCTTGCGAATGTCTTTCTTAACCGATGCTTTCGCTCCAATGGTGGCCACCAAAGTAGCCAAATGGAAGTTCTTGCCATTGATGAGATGCTTACATGCATCGGTAATGTTGTGTCCGGCGAGAGCTGCAATGGCCTTTTCCTCTTCTGATTTGGCAAGTGCTACATGCTGAGAGGATGCACGTGCGACCAGATCTTGCCAGAATGTAGAGAATCTATCGCGACGTAAGCGTGCCTCAATATTTTCAACGTTCCGAAGGGTCTCAGGAACTTCTACAGGGTCCCAGAGAATGCTGGCAAGAGACCAGACGAGCTGCTCATGGGTCGCAGCAGGATCTCGAGTCTGACCATCCTCGCGAAACCGTAAAAAGGAGGTATTCTCAGGTAGCTTCGCATATGGGATACCATTAACAATGGTAACATTGCTGATTGTTTTGTGCTTTTCAAGAAGTGCAGCAGATCGCTATGGACGTTGTTAATTGGGATCTAAGAAATTGAAAGCTGTGAGTTACGTTACCTCATTTGTGAATTTTGCAAAGCGCACATCCCGACCTTCCGAGACAATAGCGCCTTTTTGGATCACCATCAATCCATTTTTCTCTCGGCCACGTCGTGAGGATTTCACATCAGCGTGTCCAGAGTACACTAGCGTGCCGTCTGGCCCCCAGCTAGGTCTCATAGAACTATGATAAGCACGGTCAATGTCGGTCATGTTGCTCATATCATTGTCGAATGTTTTTGATCGCTTTGCATATGGCCACTAGAGAAAATATTTTAGTAAACGTTTATATTTGGTGCTACATACATATTTTATTCAAAAGACTGCTCAGATTGTTGTCCAATTCCTCAAGTAGATAAGTTCAAACAAAGCAGGGAATACCAACCTCGAAACCTTTGCCCTTGGCTGGTGTTTTTGCCGGCTTTGCGGGACTCTTCGTCTGACCAAATAAGGAGTTCATTAAATCAATGCTAGTAGCGAAACCACGTCCATCAGCAACAACCCTCTTCGCAGTCGGCGTCGGTTCGAAGTCTGGCAGCGAATCGTCGTCAAAATGAATCAGGGTCTTCAAAAGAGCACGGTCTTGCTTCTTAGGGCTCACCGTTTTTCTCAACGTGGCAGTCCAGTCGTTACCAGCTGAGAACCTCGTCTTCATAGGTGTCGCGGCTTTTTGAGACGCTCTCAGTCTTGCTCTTACGAGGGCATTCTGAGTCCCAGAATCTTCTTCGATGGCATCATAGCCGTCTTGCGAATCCTCCTCATCGAGCTCCGCGGTATTGCCAGCCTGGGGATAAGAGCCCGCCATCTCCTGATCCGCAATGCTGACAGATTCGTCGTCTTGAAAATCGTCGGCCTGATCCATCGGCTCATCGACGCCATTTTCCGACTGCGAACCCACGGAGCGATTATCTAAAAAAGACTCTTCGTATGTTTCGTCTTCCTGGGTCTCTTCCATTTCCTCGTCATCTTCGTAATATGCTGCCTGCTCGTCAAAAGCCCCTGGAAGAACAACCTTCTTTCTTTTGCTAGTCTTGAAATCGAAAGTGTCCTCAGGATCAGATTCAGTCTGTGAGACCATGGAGATCTGAGAAACAGACGCAAAAGATTGGTCCACATCACGAGATGATGGTGTAGGAGTATCTGGTGGTGCGCTAAGGGTGCTTTGGCCGAACTCACTGACCTCCTCCATTTCAGTCTCGTCGTCTTCATCGGGAGCAGCATAAGTGGTAAAGTGCTCGACAGAGAAAGTCCAAACACCAGTGTCTTTGTCGTAATTCAAGAACTTGGTATCCTTAACTCTTCTTAATCTTTCGATATGTTTTTGAAATCGGTGACCATTCTTTTCACCGGAGGGAGTCTTCATATCCTTCTTACGTGGCCACGAGTTCTGCAGCGAGATAATGGAAGGGACGTTCAGGCCCTTCCCCATTGGCGGCTTGGTAGCGTCATCTTGGTACACCGTACATGATCTAATGTCGAACTTCACGATTTTGGCGATAATGTCGTCAACATTAACCAGTGTCAGATCAACTGGGCTTCCAAAGGTGACTTGACCACAACCTTCCCGACCAACGATCAAGTTCGATACCTTTTGTCGCTGAGTGCGGTTCATGTTTTTGATTTCCGCCAGACTGGGCTTCATCCAATATTCCCCAACTTCTTGATCTTCTTGGCTGATCTTTTCGGGCAGGGCACGAGGTGTTGGATTCGCGGCCTCTTCCTCATGAACCACAGCGAGCTCATTGTTTTGAACCTGTTCCATCTCAGGCGGTGATTGGTTCGATGGTTGCTTACCATTAGCCTTGGCGGACGGTCGAAGGAGTCCCATTTCCTCTGATGTTGGGCTGGATCCGTTGGTGATGTTTTTGAGTGGGCTGGAAGTGCTAACGCCGTTTGTTGCAGTGTGTGCTTCGAAAGACACACGTTTCTTCAGGATGCCGCCCTGACTTGGGGCCGCTGGGGCCTGTTGAGGATTGGGCGGTGAAAACAGATCATTACGTAGATTTCTGTTGATATTCAACTTTTTCACACTTCCAGTGCTACCGTAGTGTCTGGTGCTTGGGCTAGCCGAAAATGCACCAGGAGCAAGAATACTATCCTCGGTGTTGAAGCTTCGACGAAGGCTACTTGTCGACGCACTGGCTTTAAGTGTACGGCTGAACGTGTTGCTACTAAATGTACCTGGTGTGCTGGAGGTGCTGGAAGCACTACCTGGCGTACCATAATTGCTGTAAGAAAAACCAAAGCCGCGCTTTTGTGGCGTGGAGAAGCGTGAGGTAGACGCAGAATTCAGCTTGTACATTGGGAGAGCCGCATTCTTCTTTTGCTTGACGGCACTAGAGAGAGGGGTTGCAATAGGCCCGGGATTATTGATTTGGGTTGATTGCAGACTGGAGAAAAGTGATGTACCACCATAAGCAGCGCTATCATTGATGCTCGCGGTCAGAGATTGGCCGCCTTGTTGTCCTTGAGCAGAGTTGCCAAGCAGGGAATTATTACCGCCAAACAAAGAATTTGAGGGCTGCTGGTTTTGCTGGGTGTTACCAAAAAGACTGCTGCCTTGTTGCTGGTTGTTGTTACCACCAAAGAGGCTGTTGTTCGCAGGTTGAGATTGGCCGAACAAAGACGGCTTTTGCTGCTGCTGCTGGTTGTTATTATTACCCAGCCCACCAAAGAGGGAGTTGCCCGTTTGCTGCTGTTGCTGGTTATTTTGATTCTGGCCTCCAAATCCGCCGAATAGCGAACTCCCTCCAGTATTTGTCTGTGTATTGGTGTTACCAAAGAGACCTGTGGTAGCGGGCTTTTGGGCGCCAAAAAGATTGCTGGTGCCTTGATTAGTATTATTGGTGCCACCAAATGGGTTTGAATTTGCGGTGGAGGTATTTCCAAATAGTCCCGTACCCGTGTTGGTAGCTGCAGGAGCCCCAAACATGCCTGTTGCCGGCTTTTGCGCACCGAACAGTGAGGTAGATGTAGCTGGTTGAGCTGCTGCTGCGCCGCCAAATCCACCAAACGTTGTGCTAGTAGCAGCTGGCTGCTGCTGCTGCCCACCGAAGAGAGATGTGCCCGTGTTGCTAGCGCCAAAACCTGATGTTCCTGCAGCAGCACCAAATCCTCCTGATGTTGCAGTACCGAACCCAGTTCCCCCAGTAGCTGGTTGCGAAGTTCCAAAGCTAAATGGTGTCTTGGCCGCCGAGTTTGAGTTGTTACCGAACAGTCCACCACCAGCAGTATTGGTAGCGCCAAAAGGTGTAGTCGATGCTCCAGTGCCAAAACCGCTGGATGTGTTGTTTTGCTGTCCAAAAAGACCGGTAGACTGTTGAGCAGGCTGAGCTCCAAATAAACCTGTCGTTGCCGGTTTAGCGGCACCAAAAATGCCTCCACCCGTTGACGCACCAAAGCCAGACGCAGCAGGTTGACTAGCGCCAAAGGGAGAATTGGTAGTGGAAGATGCATTGTTACCAAACAAACCACCTCCCGTATTAGTATTATTGTTATTGGCGCCAAAACCGCTGGCCGTATTGCTGGCTCCGAATGATCCTCCAAACCCAGTGCTAGCACCAAACGCTCCAGCTTGACCACTAGCGTTAGCTGTCTTTCGACCCTGCTGATAATCCGCCAGTCTCAGCTCCTCAGGAGACCATTTTTGATACGGTTGCTGGAAACTGATGCTCTGGAAGGCATTCTGTTGGTTGTTGGTGCTGTTTGGCTCCTTTTCGATGAAAGGCGAGAAAGGAACACTTCCTGTGCCTTGACACTCTCCTGTAGCACCTCCCAACGCGGTGCTTGCGGGAGCCCCAAACGCGCCTGTCGATGCACCGCCAAACGCAGGAGTTGCATTATTATTACCAAAGGTACTTGTGCCACCAAAGCCAGTAGTTTTTGGTTGACCAAATAATCCACCGGTGCTCGCAGCAGGTGCGCCAAAACCCGTCGCAGGGGCCGAAGTCTGACCAAAACCTCCGCCAAACCCTCCACTTGTGGTTGTTGTATTTCCTCCTCCAAATATGCTACCAGAAGTGCTGGTGTTTGTCGCGCCGAAACCGCCGGATTTAGGAGCCCCAAATGCACCAGTCGAACTACCAAAGCCACCTGTTCCCATTTATGTTAGTATGCGGTCTTGAGAATGAAAAAAAGGTCTTCGGAGCTGGTCGGATAGAGCACTGAGAATTCGCCGTGAGTGTCTCCGCCGAGTGCTCCAAGTTTCCAACCGAGAAGGTGTAAAGAAATCGGACATCATATGTTGGCGAATACAGAAATACGAAGGTTGGAAAGCAATCGTTTCGCACGGAGCATCCAGTACGCGGTAAAGCATGTTCGACGTACCTCCAGCGCCCCCAAAACCACTAGTATTATTACCCCCAAAGAGTCCAGAGCCTGTTGTATTGTTCGTAGCACCGAAGCCTGTGTTGGTCGTCGAGCCAAAGCCTAGGTCGCAAAGAAGTCTCGAATAAGCGACCGGTTCGCGTTGAATACCAAGCTGCCAGCATCCATGTATATAATGCCCATTCAAGCATTCGTGCAAAAGGGTGTAAAAGAGACGTCCATGAACCTACCTGTGTTCGCTGTGTTGTTTGCCCCAAATCCACCACCGAAAGCTGGCGTAGTATTATTGTTGTTGTTCGCGCCGAAGCCGCCAAAGCCACCGAAACCTGACATCTTGAGAGATTTCCTGGACTGCAGATCGAGTCCTCTTGATAATTGCTGGCTCGCAGATTGCGGAACGGTATCGCTATTGTGAGCTAGACGCGGGAGACGCGCTGACAGGCAGAACCGTTGCGCTCAATGCCGATAGACGGTCGCATTCATCACCGGATTGAAAGAATGACAGAAGGTACGTGCCTCGAAGATGCGAGGATGGATTGTGGTGGGGGAAGAAGCAGTAGGAGTCTTCCTTAAAAGGGACAAAATTGACAAAACGCGCTTCGAAGGTCGTCGGAGAGAGAGCTGCGGAGGTTCATGCTAGCCCAGATTTCCTGCCAATCACACGGGCAATTCACTGGTCACGTGTAGCACCAACAACTTATGAGTGAACATCAGAGCTTCGAGAGCCTTACTTGTGCAACTTGGGAGTGATTTGCTTATGAATTTGGTTGCTGCCTGAGAAGAAGTATTGGATAGAAAGTCTTCAAACAATTCAACTGTCTCGTATGTCGATTCATTCATATTGGCGCTTCTCTCATATGACTCCTTTGGTCGGAATCTGGAGGTCCCATTGATGCCTACGTCCATCCTCCACGCTCATTGGCTACTTTCCATACAGAACGAAAAGTCCAGAACGGGCGACTCTGGGTCAATATGTCAGGGCCCGAGGAGCAACCTTGGAAGTCTGTCAGTTATAAGTCATCATAGTGCAGACAAACGCTTTGTGTGCGGTGAGACTTCGTGGTGGTTGATTCGGTGAGGGGGGTTTGGGCTTTCGAGCTTTCTGCATCGAACCCCTGCTCAGGCCCTGGCGCGTCCCGTCGCGACTGCAACAACACCATCACCAAAACTTCCGTAAACACCACGATCCCCCCATCTGCCTCTCCTCACCTTCACGACGGAGCTCTGCTTGCTCTTGCATGTATCGAGTATAACCTATTGCCATCTGCGACGCATGCCTCGAAATTTATAGATTCCTCTTCGCAATGGCATCCACAGCCCAGCCCTCTTTCGCGAATAGACCATACTCGAACTTGCATGGAAAATTACCAGATAGGACGGCTGCGGGCTTTGCGCAGAGCGCTCATACGGGGCCGAGGGATAACGCGCGACTGGAGCGTGAGCGACAAGAACGGTCACAGAGGGAAGCGCAATCAGCGGCGCAAGGAGGGAGTGGAGCACAGAATCCCTTGAGTAGCATTACAGACGAACAGCGTGAGGAAATAAACGAGGCAGTAAGTTTGGGATTTTAAATACGTTAAATATTGATATAAGGAGCACCCTGGATTGACTCAATTGTAACAGTTCGGCCTTTTCGACCTCGACAAAGACCAGCGGATAGACTACCACGAATTCAAAGTCGCCCTGAAAGCATTAGGTTTCGACCTACCCAAATCCGAAATACTAGCCCTACTTACCGCCAATGGAATACCCAAAGACGCTCCTATAGCACCCCATCCACCCGCAAGAAACCCCAAACCTCCGCAAAATGTCAGCGTCGGAAAATTAATTTTAACGTTACAATCATTCCAATCGATAGCTGCGACGCTGATAGCGCAGAGGGATCCAAAGGAAGAAATACTAAGGGCATTCGCCCTGTTCGACACAGAAGATAAAGGGATCATAAGTATAGAGGATTTAAGAAGGGTAGCAAGGGAACTAGGCGAAGCGCTCGAGGAAGATGAATTGACGGCCATGATTGAGGAGTTTGATTTAGAAGGAAAAGGGGGTGTGGGGAAGGACGAGTTCATTGGGATATGTATGGGATGAGAGATGCCCATTTAATTTTCTTCGACTGGAGTACCGGCGTTCGAGGGTTGGATATGGCGGCTGGAAAACTGCTTGGCAGCAGTTGCTCAATATCTGCATTTGAAAGTCACATGTAATGCTTGTGGAGTACTGTGGGAGGCGAGGAGTTTAGGCGTATGTGCAATTATGAATCGAGGTCCTCGTAAGGAAGGCTTCAAAATCTCGACACTTCGATCACCTCTATAGGCGCATAAAATCCATGTACTCGTGAATGTTCACCCTTTGAAATCTAGCTCAATGCCACCGAAAAGAAACCCACAAGATCAGCGAGAAGCGCCGAGTCAAATCCGTCCGTCATCAAAGGGAGTATCGTCCACGCATGCTCGCAGAAGAAAAAATACCGCAACCAATGCCAAGTGTTGAAATTTCAATTAATGGCACTCCGTCAACTTTTGAATCTTTGAACACCCTAAAACTGTATCAGATCCCCACCTTGTCCATTCTGTCCCTGTTGCGGACGTGTTCCAAATGGATTGTTAGCTTGTTGACCGCCATAGCCGCCACCACCGAATCCATTAGACATTCCAGCAGGACCAGTCGCCGCTGGTATTTGCTGGCCACCGAATGAACTTGAATTGCCACCATATGAGGTTTGCGGCATTCCCGTATATTGGTTGTGTAAGAACGGGTTGGTGCCCGTTGCTTGTGCGGTCATACTGTTTAGTCCAGCGCCAGCACTGTTAACAAAGGTGCCAGGCGCTGTGTGTTGGGCAGGAATTCGAAGGTCTCCAGTGTTGCCAAAGGTATCCATTCCCTCTCCACTGGCAAGGAGAGCATTCAATCTGGCATGTTGAGGATCCATCTCCTTTTGTGGTGGCTTGTATGAAGCGATCGGGTTAAAGGTTGCCGTTTTCTGTTCCGCGAGTGTAGACAATGTCGGCTTGGGGGGTACCGAACTAGTTCGTGGTTGATTGAATGATGATGCAAAAGGATTATTCGAACCTGTGGGAGTCGGCATGATAGGTTGAGCTTGTTGTTGCTGAGCGCCCGTTGCCCAAGGATTATTGGTGTTTGCGGGGATCAACGGTTCAGGAGCCTGCTGTTGTTGTTGGGGTTGGAAAGGACTTGAGGTTTGTTGATAAGGATTGAAGCTGGTTTGTTGCGGTTGAATACTTTGCATGTTTTGCATGTTTTGCGCTCCATAAGGGTCAAAAGCGCCAGTTTGTTGTGGTTGGAACCCGGTCTGATAACCTCCATTCTGAGGGTAGCCGGTGGGCTGCCCATACATGGCACCAGTCTGCTGTTGTTGCATATTCGGGTCAACAGGGTTACCATACCAGTCGACCTGGCTTTGCTGTTGATATCCTTGGTTGAATCCCGTTGGCTGGGCAGTCTGGTGTGCAGTCTGAATCAAGTCGTCGTCAAAGAGAGACGAAGCATTCTGGTCCTCCAGCTCCCTTCGCCTTAGTTCTTCTTCCTCCTTACTTAATTTGATTGCTTTAGCGAGGTCGTCGTCGTCGGGCTCTCCATTTCGGCTTTGCCTCTTCTTTCGGTCTTCCTCCTCTTGGTATTTGCTTGCCTCTATAGCCAACCTGTATTCTGCGTCCTCCTCATCGGCACGTTGCGCTCGGTGGGGGCGTCGCTCTCGTCGTTGCGTCTGAGGCTGTTCGTGTGGGCCCATTCCTTCATCGAGGCCACTAACTCTCGACTTCCAGTTTTTCCGATCACTTCGCTCAGCTCGCAATCTCTCTTCATCCAAAATCAAAGAGGTCAATTCCTTTGCCGATACTCTGACTGCTACTGGTTAGCGGGGCACCACTGAACGAATTTACAAGTAATCCACGAACCATTCTGTCCTACATCCCGCCCGTCTTCATCGATGTATTGAAATTCTCTCAGCGTTTTTATTATGTAGATATTCTTGTGCGCCCAGGTGACCACTAATTCCGAGCCTTCGTGGAGACAATAGTCCAAGACCTTGAGCGCTTTAAGAACATGCCGCCAGTTCTTTCCCTTGTCATTGAGTCGTTTGTCTAGCATATCCATAATTTCGTAAAATTCGTTTGATCTGCCGGTTATTAATTAGTGCTATCTTGATTTCGAAGAAAGCAAGACATACGAATTGTAGGTCATTTGCGCGATGTCAGTCATCTCAGACCCAGTCGGGCCCCACGGATCATTACTGGTAGCTTGCAATCAATTAGCCGTATTCTGTTGCTTCCCTGGCGAGTATTTACCATTGCGAACCTTGACCTGGACACTTGAGTATCCTTTTGTGACATTCTTGACGCTTCTAATAACTTTCGACATGTTTGCGACAGGTGTGTGAAAGCGGCAGTTCCGAAAGGAAAGAACGTCAGGGAGATAAAAGCTCTTCTCTCACGACTGCACAGGTTATATGAAGTCTCGAGAACTTGGCGTATCGACTAGATTGTCGCAAGATAGGTTGTGGGTTGACGACGGAGTTTGCGGAAGTTGTGTTTCGTGTGCTGTTGGTCTATCGATATGAATCGGGGGCGCCACTGTTTGTTCACTGTAGCCGCTAGTCTCAACTGATTTGTGACAATTAATATTCAAAATGCTGTCCTCGCGCTCGCAGTGTCTGTTGTAATTGTAGAAAGAGGCATGCTAGATCTTGAACGGCCTCGTCGTGAATGAAATGTGGGTTCGACATGCGATGAAGTGGCTCAGACAGCTTGGGGATGATGACGCTGGACCGCGCTAATTACTCACCTTCACCAATTCGGCTGCCCAACTGATGAACCCGGAAGACAAATTCATTTTATTGTAGACCACGTGCGAATGGTTAAAGGCTAGTTCTCCTCACAAGCTCAATACGGGATCTTTACATTATGGTTCCCCTGTAAAATACATTCTATAAATAGCTCTAGGTCATCGATCAATAGTAATTTACATATTTTCCCTACTACTCCTATGTTTGGGATGGCGAAGAACGGCGCCGAGCTTGCGACGCCGTTGTCTTGGAGGGACCTTCGTATGAGTGAGCATAGCTCTAGCTCTCCAGTCGAGGAGTTTCTGCTTGCAAAGCCTCTAAGATAGAATATGCTCTACAACCTGACTATGGCATAACAGATGCCCTGCATTGATGGGGGGTGATAATACTCTGAATTTCCAAAGCCTTATAGTAAGTTTGATAACAGGTAGCAAATAGTCTTTCGGCGAGTTGGGGTCTCCATAGCTCAATCAATGCTCATGACATCTCAAGCTCATCGAACGAGACAATTTCCGTAGGCTTCGCGAGGGTAATTTTTGGTTTGAGTTCCAGTCCAGCTGCTCGCAACATCGCAAATCGTACAGCATCGATTCCCATTCTCTTCGCTCCAACCCACTTCTCAGAGCTGCAAGCAATAACCTCGCCAGTAGCAAGAAGATCTCCTTCTGGATCGGGTTCGACCTCGTCTTTGATAGTTTCCATTGTCTTCCTTAGCGCAGCAAGTCTGAGAGCCAGAACCTCTGGACTTGGTTTGCGATTATCCGGAAAGATGATTCTGTCCGCCTTGGACAGAACAATCTGATAAGGCACAGAATGTTCTTGAAATAAGGCCAGGAGTTGCTTGTCGCTGTTTTTGATTCCGTGTTCAGAGTCGACCAACAAGAAAGCCCTCTTTAGCTGCCTCCTCTTCCCTAAATATTTGAGCACCTCTTTTCCCCATTCTGCTCTTCCTCCTTTCCCGTATCCTGGCATGTCTAGTACCACTAATCTATTCGATGCGTTGTCTTCTCTCCCACCCACAGCGAATGCGTTCATGAGTCTTGTTCTACCGGGTTTCGAACTCGTATGCGCGATCCTCTTGCTCAGAAGCGTGTTCAATAGGGAGGATTTTCCGACATTGGATCGTCCCAGGAAACAAATTTCCGGACTACCCCCAAAATCCATGGTCTTGAACTTCTCAGCCGACCAGAGGAATTTTGGGGGTTGTAGGTTAAAGAACTTAGAGGCATGTACTAGCTGACTTGCAGTTGGTTCTGTCGTATCCCAGTGGTATGATAGAGCTCCATGGGGAAACTCTGCTGTTGAAGGTTTATGTGGTGTAGTAGTACTCAACGCCTTTCGAAAAAGGACTCCATTGTTACTGCGTGACAACTGTAAACCTAAGAACTTTCGAGGCGCAATGGTCGATTGCATCGGGCTTGTGAACGACGTATTGGGAAATGGATAGACGACATGCAGAGGTGTAAAGAAATTATTTTTGAGACGCGACGAGGCTGACATACCGAGGCGGTAAAAACGCACGGTCTGGAGTGCTTCAAACTTTCTGAAGAGCATCCCAAAAATTTTATCAACAATCTTCACAACGCGAGAAGACGAAGCCGGCAAAGAATCATTATGGCGTCTCCAATGAAATTGCGGTCAATATACCGATCCTTCCTCCGCGAACTTCCTTCTCGCCCTCTATCTGAACGATCTCGATCCCCTCTCCAAAACCGCATACGCAATACAATCGCCTCTGATTCTGCTACACCATTAGAGCAAGCAGAGCAGTTTCTACAATACGTCAAAGCCCAACGCATGTACGCGACATTACTGGAGAGATACAATCCTGGCATGAATATGGATGAAGAAGAAAGAGTGCGCCTCACGGCGAGAAGGGTTGGAATGGATTTGCCAGAAGAGTTCTTGGTTGGTCCAGATACTAGTGGCAATGGGAAGGGAGAATGATTCAATTGCAATATCGCGCATTGAATGAATCCAAAAACTCGATGGACCTTGGAATACGGCCCCAAAACAGTTATGCTTGGGTGGAATGAGATTCAAGATTGGTTGCCACACGCCACACGATAGATCCAATCACTTCTGAGATTCAACAACAATCTGAGGATCGACTTCAAACACAACTTGGCTGCCTCCAGAACTCATCAAATCGTTCAACAAAGATGCTTGCCGTGTAAGATATGTGTACACGTATTGGGCGCTTCCAGGCTATTGCCATTGAAGTATTGGTACGAGTACCTACTGTATTATCTAAAGCATATATAATGTTGCATATTTTTAGCACTGCTTGGTATGCTGGTCCATCTGTACATTCTTTCATGGCCAGCTTTGTTTTATTTATATACTTTATTACATGAATGCGGGCTGGCGTCTGGTTGTTCAACAGCGGTGGAATGGTTACAGTATCTATGGATGGTCATAGTGGTGTGGTACTTAGGTTGAAACTTTATCATCCGCATATCTTCGAGCAAATGGTCATCATTCCTTTCAGACACGCTTTCCGAGTGGTATTCTAAGCGCCTAAGTCTCCTAAGTCTTTGTTTTTTTGGATGGATATGGGTTACTCAGCTCCTTATCCTGTGCTTCTCTACCAGTGAACAATTGACTACAGCTCGTGAAAGCATACCTGCTTTGGAACCGAATCTCTGCCCTTTTGTTGCCTCGAGATTACGATGGTAGCCGCCTGTCTGGTAGGCTAGCTTACCGAAATACATTTTACGTTCAGATTCAATATTCCTTCGGCCTCAAATCTGGCTTTGCTTACTTTGCGTCTCGACACACGATGCCCCCACTACCAGGGTATACGGTACAATTGAGAACGGGCCGAAGCCGCTAGAGCGGTGTTCCAGAGGATGATTGTCAAGATGCAGCTTCATGCTTCGTCAGGTCGTCCTGCTTTCCTTGGGAAATTTCTATTTAAAGCTCAACATTCTCAAAGTTGAGTATAGACAAATAGCGAAAGTACCCCCACTGTGCCGGGGAACAGCTTCCCTTCTAGAACACTTATCAGCCTCATTCCCGCGAAGAGCTCTCGAATGCGCCAGGTCATATAACTCTGTAGCAGGGGTTGATTAAGACGAAGAGGGAATGTCAGACTCGAGGGTTGAGAGGCGTGGACTCGTCGAAATCCAATGAATTCCATGGTATCACTGTTTCCTGCCCAAGCAGAGTCTATGCTACCGTATGTATCATAACTCTCAACGGCCGCATGAGTCTGTCTCAAGATCCAAGAACGATCCAAAACTCATGCCAAGAGAGTGCTTCTCTGGTTCATCGTCTATCATAAGAAGCCACAAAGACGATCGTGCAAACCTTAACTTCCGAGGCTTTCATGCAAGTCGATGGCAGTTTCGGCTCTCGACGAAGCCGTTGTGTATCCCCAGGACATGCAGCCGGCCATGGATCCGCCTGGTGTCTTTTCCAGAATTAGATAAACATCTCACTACATTGTGATCTCCACGTGGTTGAGGCAATTCTGACCATCTCGCGGCTCTATCGCTATCAGCGTTTGTTTCTCAGACATTTGATGCTTTCTTTAAACCCACAAACTGATCCCAGACCTCCCCATCCCGACCGTTCTCGCCCTGTGGTGCATGTACTCCTATCGTACTTATCACATCCCTCTCCTCCCTCTTCAGTCCCGTCCAGATCTGAACAGTCAGTGGGTCCACTTGCAAGTGTTGGGCCTTGTCCGCATAAATCGAAAGGCGGAGTGTAAGCGCCGAGGGGTGCTGTTGCCGTCAAGTAGTGCGATTTCGAGGTGGTATCATTGGTCTCTCAGCGCAATACCAACTCGCGTTGCAGGGCGACCCTGCACATCACCCGAAGGTCACCAATTGCACGGCGTGCCAGATGTGCCATTTTTGGACCCCGGTGCGAGGCCCTCACGCACTGGGCCCCCAGCAAATCCACCTGCCAAGCTGCACATATCGAACGTCTCTCTCAAAGAACTTTAAGGGAGAGAGAACCCCTCATACCTTTCATCCCACGACGTGCTTCATTCTCGCCGACTTCGCATCCTCGTCGCCGCCGTCGCCTGCTTGCTTTACGATGACTAGATGAGCTGGGGATCTTGTTGTCGAAAGGGACAACGCTAGGGCACGATTTCGGGGGACTTAGGGGGTTGGGAAGCAACAATTGGTGTTTTTGCTATTTTTAGACGCGATAATGGCCAGTCTCAGGGACTTGACAGCACGACGACGACTTGATTTGAGTCCGATCACGACCTCTCTCACAGTCCAGCAGCCGTATCCTACACAGACGCCTATTTCTGCGCTCTCGTCGAATTCGCTGAGCGCTCCTTTTGGCTATCATCCCGCGCCATACACCCCAGCCAGCGCTGTGAGGCAGTATAACCCCCAACAATGGACCGCGTCTCCAAGCGTACCATCGGACCATACCAATCACTTCGCAAGCCGGCAAGAAACAGAAGGTACCACAGGATTTTCCCCAAAAAAATAGATTCATATGTTGAGACCCTGCATTTGGCGGGGTGATCATATAAAACTCATCTAAATGCCAGACTAACGGAACATCGTAGCTCCTGCCCCACCTCCATACTCACCTCCTCGAAGCAGTCAGCCTTCTTCGCAGCGGACATCGACAATATCAAACGAAGCTTCAGAATCACTGTCGGGAGGTTCGCCCGCTGCTAGAGTCTCGCCGTCGAACATATACCGATCGTCTCCAGACCCTGGCGCTCAACATGCATTTCCTCCTCCTCCACCGTCCGCCTCGCGCGCTCGAGCGGCGTCCAACGATCGACCTCCTGGTATATTTAACCTTTCAGCTTTCACCAGAAGGAATCATGCTCAGGAAGTTCCAAGGCCTTCTCCAGAAATGAATGTGAACCAGCGATTTGCCGAACATAGACCCTCACCAGAAGCACCAGTAACCTCACGTTTCACAGACCATAGACCTGTTCCAATCATCACTGAACCTCTCAGGCAAAACGATATACAGATCCACTCTCAGCAAGTGCAGCTCCCTTTAGCTCATGCTCCTGCCTCTCGTCGAGCTGCGTCTGCTGGGGCTATTAGTACACCTTCAACGTCACGCTCACGTGGCTCATCGACGACAAGATGGGCCCCTGGAATGCCACTACCACCACCTCCTCCTGTTCCCCCTCCACCTTCCCAATCTCGGTCACAGAGTGTGTCGGGATCTGAACGAATCGTCTCGCCACCTACCAGGCGGCCGCCTGGGCTCAATTCGAGTTTGGGTGCATCCAGCTTGGGTCCGGTACCACCTACTCCGGCTGGTTGGGTAGACGAGGATGTGGGAGGGCGCGGTAGATCGCCAAATCGGGCACTAACAATTGATACCTCGAGCGTTGCTTCAACTGCACCATCTACGACGACCGGCGAATCAAATTCCGGTTCGAGTAATTCGGGCTTAGCCAGATCACAGCATGTGAGAGGAGAATCGCGAAGTATTCGTGAAAGGAGAAGCGAGAGTAAAGCTCGGAGGGCTGTTGTAGAAGAAAGCTCGAATAACCCTTGGGCGGAGGCTATAACTCCCTCTGATATTTCTGTGCCCAGCACTATGCTTGGACGTCGGCAAACTGTAAAAAGGACAACGCCAAGAAGTTCGAGATTCGCGAGTGGTGGAGAAACACCTAATTCTGCGGACACCCCTTATTTGAACACTCCTGGTACTGGTTCGAGAGGATCTACTCCTCGCCCAATGGCGTCTGGAAAACGAATCGAAGCGCCAACACCACCTTTCTCCCCTGGTCAATCGAACTTGATCCACGTTCAAAACTCCCCCTCGATTCCACCTAAAGCTCTTCCAACACCACCTCCACAATCTCGATTACCCCTTGACTCCCCAGCTCGGCCATACAAGATTCAGACAAGTGAATTGCCGTCGGCCGGACCACCCAACTCATCAAGAGCAGGCTCGGTGGCCCCTCCCTCGCGTTCATCAAGTGTTGGAGATCCTTCCCTGCTTTCGCCGACTCAACAATTTGCTCTGGGTTCGATGGAACGGCATAAAGCTTTCGCTAAGCGAGAAGCAGCTGCAGCTACGGACTCGGAACGTGTTCGTATATTTGCAGAGTTTTTCGTTGCAGAATCGCGGCTCCGAAGGGAAAGATATGCGGGTGCTATTGATGCTATGGGGTCGGAAATACTTGAGCTTACCCGTGATCTGTTTAGACCATTTACAAAAGCAGAAAGAGATTCTAGGGCAGTCTCCAGATCGAGTGAATGGACCCCAGAGTCATCCACGGGACCTATGAGTACACCATTGAGATCTCACAGAGGCTCTTTAGGATCTGCCCTAAGTGATGCCCCACAACGTCCTGCAGCGCCCACGCCGGACTCAGCAGAGCCTTCTCCTGCGGCTGGAAGACCAGATTCACAGTGGTGGAATGGTTATATGCCATCCTTATCACCAATTCCCAGCATGAGTGTTAGTGACGTACTAGATGACGGCGATTCGCGAGGTCGACCATCCAGTAGATGGTGGGAAGTCAGCCAGGAAGGTTCTCAAGGTACAGGTTCGATGAGAATCGAGAGATCGAAACGCGAATCTAAATACATGGGAATGCCTCGTGAGCTTCGAGAAGCGTTACAGAATGGAGATCCAAGAGCGTTAGAGAACGGCGAGTCCACTCCAGGAGCAGGGCCAAGTCACAGAAAGAGTTATGGACCTAATGAATATCCTCCCGAAAAAACCGGTTTACACGATCAACCAGAATTCTCGGCTTCCTCTCAGACATATACACAGCAAGCAGCGATGATTTCACCAGCTGCCTTTTCACCAGCACTCTTAACTCCAAACCCTAAACATCTCGATGTGTCGCGACTTGTAACATTACCACCTCCATACCCACGGCATCATCCCGCTGTCAACAATAATCACCCAGATCTGACCTCGATTCGCTCAAATGTGCGCATTCTTAGTGACTTTACTGAAGTTGAAGCCACCAAACAACGCTTTTTGACCACTTCGGCCGCAACCAAAGAAGAAAATATCGCCACTGCATCGAAACGAAGAGATTCTCTCCGCTCATCTATACAACGTGAAATCGCCGCTGGAACGATGTCCTATACGGACGCCGCAAACATGGAGAAAACTGCTGAAGACTCCCAGAAGGAGCGTGAAAAGGAAGCGTCAAAAGCGGATTTTGAGCTGTTCCAATCTCAAGTTGTGATGCCCTTGAATGACCTTCTCATGGAACGGGTCAATAAAGCCACCGCACTCTTCGAGGAGCTTCGGTCGAAACTATTTACCGACGCACAAGAGCAGTCACCCAATCTCACTCAAGAAGAGGGCGATGAACAACCCGAACTTCTTGAAAAGCTGACACTATTAAAATGGATATTTGAAGCTCGGGAACAGCTCCAAAAGGAACTTTTTGACTTACTCTCTGATCGTAATGACCGATACCGCGACGTAGTCGTCATGCCGTACCGTCTTGCGAATAACGAGGCAAAACTCAAGCACGCAACAGAGTTCTTCGCATCAGATGCTCAAAAGCGCGCTGTAACCTTTGAAGCCGAATCGCTGAAACGTACTGAAGAGTTTATGGACATCATCGAAGAAAACGTCGTCCGAGGCGTCGAAGTCCAACTTTCCGCATTCTGGGACATCGCCCCTAACCTATCTCGCGTCATCAACAAAGTCCCTCAGGATCTCAACAGTTTCCAAGTCCAGATCCCCTCCCAAGAATACGACGAAAACGTCAGCTACTGGGACTTCCCCATGCAATACCTCCACAGCCTCGTCGGCCACTGCGAGAAGAGCACATACCAATTCATCGAATCCCAGATCAACCTCCTCTGTCTCCTCCACGAGGTCAAAGGCGTCGTCACCTCGAAAAACCTCAGCCTCATGAAAGTCCAGCGCGTCGTGGCCGGGGAGAACGAGGAAGAGGTCGCCGCGGAGCTGAAAGAGGTGGAGAAGGATGAGGAATCCAGACTCACGGATGATCTTAAGGAGAAGGTTAGATGTGTCGAGGAGCTCTGGAGTTCGGCGCTTGGGACGGAGATTAAGGGGGTGAGGGAACGGCTTGCTTCGTTTTTGGTGGCGCAGGGGGGGTGGGTTGAGGATGATGAGTGAACGATGCTCGTTGTGGAGATAAAGGGGTGGTTCTTTGTATTTACTTTCCACCATTTTTTTTCTGTCGCCCTTGAGGTAAAGGGGGCGATATGTTTATATTTTCGGGATACCCAAATTTTCAGTATAGGGATATGTAGAAGATTCATTTAGATAGGGGAGGGGAGGGATGAAAGCAATAAATCATCAAATTTCAAAATAAAGATTCTTAGGGGAGGTTTCGATTGGGGGAATATGGGGTGTTTTTAATCTATCCCTTACATATCACTTCTGCATGGCGTCTTCAGACTCAATTTATAGAATCGCGCTTTTTCTTACATAAGGGATGCGAGTGTCTGACCAAGAATTCATGCGTTGAAACGGTGTGCATCACACCATCAACTCTTTTTATCTATCTACATATAACCAGGAGAAAGGTGATTTTTGGTAACGCCCGCATCTATCGTCGGTATGGAATTTATCCACCCCGTTCCGTTTTCCTCATTTCATTCATGCAAACGCCGACTTTACTTTGTCGCCCATGTTGGCGAGCGGTAAGCAGTACCTCATTACTCACGATTGGCTGAACGATTGTTCGCAGGGCTGAGATTTATGGGTATGTCGAGACGAAGGGGAAGGATTGGTGGTTTCGGGGTGGCCTATCATGTGTCTGTATTTTGCGTGGTACGACAGGAGGGATGTGCATTAACTTTCTCGTGGTGTCTTTTTTTGAGAAGGTGTAAGAATAGATTGGGAGATGTGGTGTTTTGAGAAGGATCATTGAGATGGAAATTTAAGTGTAGGTTGAGATGTGGATTGGGAGATGGAGAGTTTTGGTGAGGGTGGTCTTTGGTGAGGATATCGCATCAAAGTTGGGATGCGAAATGCGCAGTATACAATGGTACTTACTGTACCGCTTAGCAGCTTAATAACACTCATCCCTCTCCCCAAAAGGAAATCCTCTATCAACGGCTCCTCCCACTCTACCTCCCCCAATACACTCTACCACTCCTCCCATTGAAGAAGGAACATTTAACCATCCGACGAAAATCCTATCGCGAAATACCCAGATACGAAGTTCACAATGGATTATCTGTCCTGGATCAATAACCCACTTCCTCCCGTTACACAATACGGCCCGCTTCCTCTGTGTTGGTGTTTAGGGTTTTCGTGAGATTTTTCACGTCAAGATACATCTCCCTAGTTCTCACTAGGTTTATGGGGGAGGAATTTTAAGGTTTCAGGAACGCGAGACGAGGGATTGGATGAGAATTCAAGTTACTGGGTAGGAGGGAAGGGTATGGGGGTATGGATTACGGAGTACCTAGATGGTAGGGAAGATTTGGTTTGGTGGGGAAGGACGCGCTGACGATGTTGGTAGGAATACATACATACGCAGTAAGCACAAGCACAGTTTGTGAGTAGGCGGGGCTTTGATATCAGAAAGGGAGAACGAGGTGGTACGCGGGGGATTGGATTGAGGTGTGCGGATGCTATGTTAGGAGTACGTGGATTGTGAGTTGAGATGAGGTAGGGTATTCTGTATGGTTGTGATAATTGAATTCGATTTGATTTGATTTCGGTGAGGAAGATGTGGGCTGAGATTGTTGGATGACTGAATTTGTGGAATTCTGGGTTCGAGTGAGGAAATGGTTATCGCAAGTCAGCCCGGTTGAAATACCTTCGTATCTGGACTGGCGATGTCAGATGGCGGATTTAAAGTTGAGACAGTACTGTGAGAAGTGTCTGTAGGCTTTTAGTGAGATAGGTTGCCTATTGATGAAGGTCGTATAGGCGAATTCGTGTATCTCAGGAATGTGGTTAGTAAGTGCGATCGAACACCACGTATACGAATCGTATTTCTTAGGAATTGAAGTCTGGTTAGTAAGTGCGATCAATAACACGTATGCGTAGTCCCTACTAGAACACGACACGATCGGATGAACAAAGTCGCTGCTGCTCCACGATGACATGCGCATTATCCTCGAGATTACTCGTAGCTGTGCCGCGACTCAAATCAATACGATCGAAGCGAACAAAACCCTTCAAAGCTGGGGGACCTCGTCACCTCATCTCATCACTCTAACCTGCGGCCCGGGAAAACCGCATCGTGAGATAGAATTCGGTGAGCTCTGTCAAAGGATTTCGAATTCCCCCACAAAACAGGCAGGCGGTGGATGAGGCTTGTCATGCGAAGCCAAACATGATTTGTTTTCGCCGAAAGAGGCGGATGTTGGCTGTTGAAACATGATCAACTTCCTTTACGTTATTGCGCCTTGATGAGAAAGGGAGACAGTCCTATATGTTTTGATATCCGGTGAGTCGCTCCTCAGGCCATGAGACTGGCAGGCGCTCAGAGCACAGCGAGTACAGCATGAAAGCGCTTCGCGGTACGGAGGGCAGGATGGAAATAGGATGCTATGATCGCTGCTGCTGCTGCTTGAAGCGCGAGGTACAAGCGCTTCGTGCTGCTCTTCAGCCGCCTGTTCGCGCCCGGGTTTGGCTGTAGCCGCCTACTGCTCTGGCTAACCGCCAATCCTTCGGGGTTGGAGATGGGCGTCTCGCTGTGTTGCAAAGATACAAGGTACGTTGCCCTCCGAGTCTTCTGGCGTCATCGGTGAGGGCAGATAGGTATGCTGTGTCTGGAGATGTGGACTCCCGAGTGGCCGGATCGTAATACGCAGAGCCGCGAGGTTCCGCGGATGGAGGTTGAGGTCGAGATCTGGTGGCGAGAGCGAGGAAGTGGTTGAATCTGGAGATGTGCACCGCCACACCACCCAAGCGTCCGGAGGGTACGAAAGATTCGTGTGTTCGAGATTTGTCTTCAATTGCCCCACGGATTCGTAATGATGGTAGTTGCCACAGCATACGAATACAATACGAAGGTATTGCTAAGTGGAAGGCTGAGCATTAACACGAACGGCGAGACAATGGCATTACTTCTCAAGTGAAATGGAGATGGTAACATATTTTGCATTCAATGGTTAGTAACTTGAATGGTTATTGGCCACCACTTATGTCTCTACCCCCTTTACGAGCCGAGCCCTACCTCCTGTCCGAGTTGGAACTGGTCGCATCATCGTGGGGTGCATATCCCAAAGTAACAAGATGGTGTGTTGGAAATCAACAAATACAACGTTGATCATCAAGAAAATCAAGCAAACACGAGTTTCCCACTCTTTTGGCCCTCTTGGTGGTCCAGCTGTGTAAACATTGAAGCCTAGAAGCATGTGAATAATGTCTCGCCGAGTTTTCAGCGGCGAAAGGACCGACCCGGCTTCCCCATTGGTAAATGGTGTTGTTGATGGTCTTGATCTCGGTGGCTGTGGTCGAGAAGATGGAGTGCAGGTGGATAGGAAAACTTTGATCGGTGGATGGTTGTAAGCCAGTTGTTTGGTGTTGATGCGCCCAAGATGGGTTGACGACGGCAGATGCGTTGTTTCAAGCTCCACCATCTTAGCCATTCAACGCCGGAAACACCCCTCCAAGACCCTGGAGATCTACACTCCGCCGCTGTCGTGCATCCAGAGCCCTGGTAGGCTGCGCTGGTCCCAGCTTCTCTGCCCCTCCAAGCCAACTGTTGCTTCCAGACCATCGCAAGTCTTCCATTGCACATGCCGAGAGGATACTGAGAGACGATAGATTCAGCTACGTGAGAATGAAATTACAGGGTGGACGATGCAACATTTCAAGCAAAGCTAAGTATCGTCTCAAACAGCCACCATCGAAGAGCGTAGATGACCATGTATTCCCATAGCCGAGTCCAGACGGAATTTTCAGGTATCCCGTACTGCAATCGTCATTGTTTATGGCCGTAAAGTGTGCATGATGGTGGCATTGTTCAGAGACCCGTCAACTCCAATCATACTGCTGTGCCGGTCATTTCGCAAAGTAAACAATCCTTTTGACCTCTCCACAGTCATCATGAGATACCGACATCAGAGTGGCCCATCTCCACGCGTCAGGTGGCTAATTCTTAGGTGCCAGCCGTCTCTACGTACGCATGATGAACAACAACACAACTCGTGCCCAAACAAGGCCGGATATGAATCGGGTTCGGGGATGTACATTGTACATCAGCAGTTGTGGCCATCTGAAGGTTATCACGTCCACCTTTTAACCGTCGTTATACAAGGGATGGCTGTGGAGGTTTGACCACTTTGTTTGATTTGAACAGGATGACCGTTGGGTATGCTCGAGTTCCACTACACCGCCTGGAAGTTTGCAGATGAACGACGACTCAGCGACGACTACGTGCCAGTCGGCATCATCTAAATGAATGAATTGGCTGTGAAAACCAGCCTCCTCTGTATGTTGCTGGCAATGTGAGAAACATCGTTACTCGACGTCACAGAGTTTTGTCCTCCATCTATATTTGACTTGCGAGCCGCATTAGCATACAACTCTGTAATTGTTGGCTATCGTTTGATAATTCCTGACCTGAGCATCGAAATTCTAATTGTTTGCTGTTTCACAAACCTCTTGACCGCCTTGCAGTAGCAGTCGATAGCAAACCATTGGCAGTTATTGGACCGTTAAATTGAATTGTACGGCATACGAAACATTGAACTTCTCCTGAGATCTGTGGCTCCAATCTGTCTCCCTTTTCATTGACGACTCACTTAACCCTCGAAAGACTGGTATAGCCCGACCACTCATACCACAGCTCCAACGGGTATCCAGAAATCGACTCGAGGAGGAGAGTCGGTTCAAGAAGCACTTGCATCTCTAGTGCCACAACGCCACAACCCGGCGTGATCTCCCTACCTAGGCCAAGCTCAAGTCAGAAGAAACAGAACCGACTTTCGTGTCGAAAGCCGCCGGCAAATCATCTCTTCCCATCTTATTGCTCCATCGGACCGCTTCCTTGTTACCCTTGTTGAAGCTGGGTCGGCTGAAACAGCAGCCCTCGACCAGCGCGGCGCCTCTCGACGCGAACCCCCTACCCGACCAGTCTTGGGAGCCAGCTGGGCCAACCATCTCGCATCTCGAGATACAGTTCCTTACTGGGACCAAAATAATTGCATCCAAGGGCAAAAGGGATAGGGAAACAATTAATCCCCAAGTCTCCTCCTACAATCCTCATCTAGCCTACCAGGAGGCTTCAACTCGCGTCCATCCACCAGCGGCCAACACAGAGACCCCCAATCAGATCCCAAGCATCCGTGAACCAGACGCTGGAGTGTATTGTACATTTCCCGCAAGAGTCGATTGACTCCATATTGGTACATTGCTTGCATATGCTTGTCGCGAGGGTTGGTTCATATATATCTTCCTCCCGTGGTCCACCGTCTTTATTTTAAAGAAACAACATCAGCATCAGCACTCTCCCCTCACACCCGTCTTTGACTCTTCTCCAGCAACGAACTCATCTCCACCCGACCTGGTTTGTCGGCAACCAGAGACCCCCATACAGTCAGTTGCAGCCAGCCAGATCACGAATCCCCTTAGGAGTGCCGAAAATACCACTGCTCGAAACATCCGGGAAACAAGACACAGACATCTCCTCCGTACTCGTGCTTCCTCTCCCACATCCATCGCAGGGTCCTTCTCACAAGACGATCAACTCAGTTGGCCAGTGTCTGTGCGTCCCCAGATTCGACATCTCCATCCTCCTCGAGCCCCCCGATCACCCGAACCTGTCACACTTGTGCAGCACGTACATCGTACACCTCACGCCCTCAGTTGTCTCTTGACGTCTGAAGATTGCACCGCACGCACTCAGGCTTGCCATTCTCTTGAGCCACGCATCAAATTCCAGACAGCAAACACCACAAATCATTTCCATCTCAGGCTCAACTCGCCGTCGATTCCATACTCCAGCTCGCCGGGACGATACCGCAGAACAAACATTCATCAGCATCAGCATCAGCCCGGGCAGATCCTACAGGCTGCAAGCGAGGCTTTTTAAAGCCGATTGTTGATCGCGACCAAGCCTTCCCTTGGTACTTCCCCCCTGACCGGCCAGCCGACATCCTTCTTGCGGTTTGTGCATCTGCTGCAGCTGCACACCACCTGCACAATTGCCCCTGACGATTCGCTCGCCTTTGTAGTGTTCGCTTAGGTTGAGCTTGACTCTCCTTTCTGGCATCCAACGCATACGGACTTAGTCATTTCCTTCGCGCGAACCGAGGACCACCTGCACTTGTCATTTCGGGGATTCTTCGTCGTGTTGCTTGTCTAATTCTCTCTTGTGGAGAACTAATTGTCAACCTCGCCCTCTGTCTGTCTCTCGCCTTTCGCCTGCTCGCTTCGGAGCTATTCCATTCGTACCTTACTACGCACGCAGCTGCGCCAGCACCTCCAAGCGTCTTCTCTGCCAGACTCGTTCAAAAGTGTTCAATTTCCGCCGGTCGGAAACTTCACTCTTCCTTTGGGATCATTTATCAACCCGTTGGTCATCCAGCTTGCATCACCTTCTTTTCAGGTTGTTGCCTCTCGCCTGATCGCCCCCCTTGACCCGTCCACCCCCCCAATCCTGCCACGACTAATCGGCCTCCCCTGTCCCCCTGTCGCGCACACGCTGGTCCAAACACATCACGCTAGTCCTCGGTACTCACCAACCACGGTGCACTCGTGCAACGCCGCTTCCACAGCCTCGCTTTCACGTCAGCCTTCCACTCCGCCAGCCTATTCATTCGATACCATTGCCAAGGTATTGTCGTTCCGAGACAATACAACAATAAGACAATACCTCCATCTTCTATTCTTCCATCATTCTCACCCACACCAGTTCGAATATTAATTATTTTTTATCTCTTCTTCCATCCTAAGCTTCAATCATCGACGACATCCTACCACTGATACACCAGTACAACACATCTCGACCCAGTCCTGATCTCACAGTACCTTCACATCATGTCGTGTTCTATCCCTCGTGAGCTGAACGAGGCTGCTCTCGAGCATTTTATCTACATGCCAGTTTCATCACAGATGGTCAACTATCTAGCACGGAAAGCACAAGAAGTCATCTCATGCGAGCCATCTTCAGCAAGAGACCTACCACCATCACCACCCCAAACACCACCACAAGACTCTTCAGCGAGTCATCTTCCAACAATAGAAAAGTTCATCAGTTCGATCGTAAGAAAGTCCAATGTCCAGGTACCAACACTCATGACCACCTTGGTGTATCTTGAACGTTTAAAGAAGCGTCTTCCTCCAATGGCAAAGGGATTAAAGTGTACTGTCCACCGCATCTTCCTCGCTGCTCTCATTCTCTCAGCAAAGTTTCTCAACGATTCGTCGCCAAAGAACAAGCACTGGGCGGAATATTCACGTGTCCGAGGATTCGAGCCATTTGGATTCTCGAAAACTGAAGTAAACTTGATGGAAAAGCAGCTTCTTGGTCTTCTTGAGTGGGATTTGAACGTCACCAATGATGATCTATACCGCCACTTCGACCCATTCTTGGCACCAATTCGATCTGAGATTCTGAAGGAGGAGGAGCGAGTTCGTGCAAAGGAGAGCCGAAAGCGTGCTATCAAGGAGCAACAGCAACAGGAGGAAGCTGCTCGTCGTCAATACGAGGCTACTCAGTACTGGATGCAGGATTGCGAGGAGAAGCACTCAGTCGTATACCAGGACCCATACGCCGACCGCGCAGGATCCACTCGCTCAAGATACGATTCTCCACCTTCAGCTTCAGACATTCCAGATTTATCACGCTCAGCAACTTACGATGATTACTGCACCTCATCTTCGGCATCCTCGTATGTGGAAGATGTCTCAAGAGAAGGAACCCCATTATCAAGCATTGGAAGCTACATGGAAGAGGAGCAAGCTTCATACGATGGACCAAGAGCTTACAGCGCCAGTCCAAGACATCACCGCGACGTGGTCCACATCGCCTCCCAGCACTCCACTGGAAAGCACAGCATGCTTCCATACGAGATCGAACGGCCATACGATCAAGCCAAGCCATCCAAGAAGCCTCGCCGTGCGGCGAATTTGTTTTCACGATTTCTCGGCCAAAAAGAAGTGCAATACACTTCCTAATAATACCCCAACGATACGAATCTCATTAGTCTAATTTTTTTTTTATAAAATGTCACGGAAATGCATGGAGTCTGCAGGGAGGGCGAAATCATTTATTACGATGATGATGATGTGTTTATAGATGCATTTTTTTGGTAACTTGTTTTGTTTAATATTGAGCGATGGCGTTGGAGGTTTTGAGCATTAAATAGGAGGTCGAACCTTTCTTTTTTACGGTTGCATTAGGAGGGGAGTTTAATTTGTGGCAAGGGAATGGAGTTTTAAAGATCTGGTTCATTGATTGGAAGGGGATCTTGGGGGGAAAGCTGGATGGTAGTGAAAAGGGGATGGGAACTGGAAGGGGGTTGTTTGTAATAGGATAGCAGGAGAGCCTCGGTTTTTATTGAGGAGGACTTGAATATACAGACCCTTAAGTTTTACATTATTTTTTTTGGACTTTGAGTGAACATGCAAATTGTGAAGGTTTTTTGTCATTGCTATTGTGCTGCTACTACTCCTATTGTCTTCTGGAAAATGACTTCATTCACTCCACCCTTCTCAAACGCATACTTTCCTCATGTTATAAAAATTGTACATATAATCTATCTCATGACTGATGACTGACTTCCAACCGTTTCACTCCACCACCACATGTCCCCTCCCCCAACCAAATATCTCCTCACATGACCCCTCCTCTCAACGTCACCTTACCCCGCACGTGATATCCCTCATCCCCATCCCCGTCCCATCCTTCGGGCGCAGTCGGGAGCGCAGTAATCACAGCGAAATTGTGGGCAGTAATTCTATTATTTGGGAAGCGATGTTATTGAGTGAGTGAGTACGTCGTGTGTCGTATGTTGTTAAAGAGAGGTACGGTATGTGGTTAATAGGGGAGAGGGTTAGGGATAGGAAAAGGAGAGGGGTTATGCGTACCGAACGTCGATAGGGGGGACGTCTGAGCGTAGAGGGGTATGTTTAGTTAGGTAGGGCCCCAATGCTTATTCTGCACCAACTCTTTGACCGCTTTTTGTTTTCTGTGTGACAATCGCGTCGTTTCGTTTGATGGCGCGGGGTGGTTTGATGCAGGGGGAAGGGATAATTTCCACTTTGTGGTAGTTCTCCTTACGACTACATAATTCTATAGTGAAAGGGTTTTTTTGGGGCATGTGGAGATTGGAGGAGCGTTCGAATTTTCGATGGTGGGTTTTTCTTTTCTATTTTGAAATGTGATGGAGAGGGGATAGTGAGGGGAGAATATGGTAGGGGGGGATAGGAGAGACGAGGGGGGAGAATACATGGGCAGAAAAGAAGGGGGATAAAAAAATCCCGATGGATTCGTGCACAAAACGAATATGCAGCAAGCTACATGTAAGAAAGACTCTACCCTTACTAATCCTGTGGGAGCTACATTTCATCTCATCTATTCCACGGTTTTGTTTACAGGTTTCTTAAATCTCCCATCCTATTTCCAACGAGCTGGAACATAGTGATTTCAGCTCGAGTTCCTCATCCCGCTGCTGAACTCCAAATTCAGGATTCAAAACGGCACGCTTCTCATATTCTCAATCAACTCTCGGGATTGGGCGTTTTTCCTCTTCTTCCTCTTCTTTCTGTTAATGCCCGAATCTTTTCTTCGTGCCGTCGGACATTTTACCACGCTTTCCAGTCTTACTCACTTTTCTATTGCATCCGCATTTTCACATTCGTGGGGGAAACAATAATCAGCCACGTGGTAGGTAGGATGCGATGCGGCTCCTGTAGGAAAATGAGTTTGTATTTGTACGGCGGGGGTTCTGATATGGGGGATGGGATTTGAGGGAGGGATGCTTATTTTCTCTGTTCGTTCTTTGATCCGTTGGTGGGTTGGGTACGAGGATGGTATTGAGAGATGGGGGGGTTTTGATTTGCTTTCTACTTCTTCTCTGGGTCCTGAGTCGTAGATTTGCGCGAGGGGTGGTGGAGATGTTGGATTCTATTGTTCCTTCTATTTCCTTTCTTCTTTTGGTCGGATATCTCTTTAGTTCGTACCTTTTGGCGAATGGGATTTCAAAGACGTTGGATTCTAATGTTCCATTTGTCTTCTTTGGCGCGCCGCTGCTTTGCCTATACTCCCTGTCTCGTACCTTCACAAATGAATTTCAAGATGTTGGGGAAATAATCCCCGATTTCACGTATACTGTCTCTGATCTCGACGTTTTTCTCTCATTAAGTGGCGATACCATCATCTCATCTGCCTCCTTCCCAGAAAACAACATCAATCAACCTCATCCTCATGACCACATCACAAACTTGGGGTTCGGTAGTGCCGTTCGCGTTGGTTTCCTCTGTTGGTAAAACATCTCGAAATTCGCCTAGGTGTCACTTTTTATGTCATCACACGATTGACGTAGATTAGTTTCGAGTTGTTTTGTTGATTGTTCGGGATGTGCGACGGCGGTGTTGGGCTTTTCCGACTGCGGTTTGATGTGTTGTGGCGATCTTCTGGAATGAGGATATACCTTCGAGACATGGAATCTTTTCGGCGTCCCCACAGTTGGTAACCTTACTCATCATCCAAGAACGGCGCGGTTAGTTGGATGGGTGAAATAGAAAATGCGCCTTATTATCGTGACGTGGTGAGGACCCGCAATCCTTCGGTCTTGAAATGAAGACGGGGATTGCTTAGAATCTTGGGTCTATCGTCACGATTTTTGTTTATGCGAAGTGATGATGTGGATGTTGGAGTCTTTTCTCAATGCCACAAACGGCGCAGATATCAATGCTCTTGAGATTCATCTGCTCTATCGACTTTCAGGTCTCCATTAGGAAGTTGGCAGGATTCAAGATTCTTACTTTTGATATCAACATAACTTCTTGTGGCAAAGACATCACACCGAACAATACAAATTCGACATCACGGGAGGTCACCTTCCCGGCTACATGACCCGCTGCAGTGACGCAGTTTCTCGAAGTGAAGATCATACGTCGAAACAAAGCGGCTACGACCAACATGCAGAACATCTCCAAGTAACACAAATCGTCGTACGGGCGGCCGCGATGTAGTGCAGATTTCCCACAGCCGCTGCAACTTAGCGCGATGTCCGCCGACGCGGAGAATTCCATAGAAGGCTGCTCAAGTTGGTCTGATGTAGATTACTGCACGCTGCTCCTTCGCCAAAAAGTGGACGGAAGGCGTCGATATGTTGCAATTGCATAGACGAAATACGCCGTGCAATCAATAATCAGCGGCTCATTGCGACCCGACACTATCACTGCTTTTCTTGGTGAAGTACGCTCGAATAAGGCACGGAATGCGGTGCGGTATGTTCCTTCTCGCTTGCAGCTTGTGGTGCGAACTCATGATCGTGAGTACTGCATGATTTCGGCCTTCGTGGGAGACGGATTAGGATGTCAATACCCTAGATTTGTGATGTGGCACCTGACGATCAGACGCGTTTGCTGGGAGCTTAGTATTTTGTCATGACTTAGTGAGCTGGAGGATGGCGATCGTTTATTTGTTGCGAGCGGCACTTGTGGTGACACGAATGTGACAGTTACACGATGGGCGGGTTGTCGGGTTGTACTAGTTCCTTTGTGATGTTTTGGGATGGTTCTGCATGTCGGGAGCACATTTGTATTTTTATATACTGAAATCTAAGCAAGTGTCTGGATGTTATCTGGGTGTCTTGGGTCGAAAGTTGGAGTATTCAATGCTGGTATGTTACACTTACACCTCAAAGAGCCAACAAATTTCTTGAGGTCTTCTGTCATACTGATACTTGAGGGGTAGTGGTGAAGTTCTGTCATTCTTATTCTTATTGACTGAACAAACCTTCGTAGTATGATTAAACATACGAAGCATATATTGTCTAAAACGTTCGAGAGGTCATCATCTTCGTATCAATCCAAGCTACAGAACAGCCATTTGGTAGTCCTAAAAGCATGATTTAAGGAGAATGACGTCCAACGCTCAGTTAGGTCATCAATACTAGAAATGGAAAGAACGTGAAGTGTAGCGTGGCGCTACGAGGGAAGTGGAAACCCCTTCCTCGTCGTTCCATATTTTTCAACTACTGTCTACGAAAAGCTCAATAAACTTGGGCACAGAAGACTCACGACATTGGCGTTAGCAGCTCAAATGAAATTCTTTTAATATTCTGTTGGTTATTTCCATACCTTGATTGATGTTCCCACTGTAAGCATTGATGTCACACGAACATTACGAAATGCGCATAGAAGATGTCTGAGTGGTAAGCTCGTATGATCCTGTAATACGAATATTTTGGTTGAATTTGTCAACTCTCTTCGTGAAAGGAAATGGTAGTTTCAAAGGTGTGCTGGTCCGCTGGAGGCTGAAGATTATCGATCCAAATCTACCTAGAAATATGTAGGTGATTATTGAAGGTGGGTGTCTACAGGCCTTGAAGGTGATTCGAGTTTGTATATGTTTGTGGTTGTGCGAACAAGGCTTACTTACCTAAGTAGATAATCTGTTGCGCAGACGGCTTTGTTGAATGTGTTTGTGATGTGGCTTATGGCGATGTCGAGAAGTGTTGATGACATTGAAGTGGTAAGCTCGCAGCATCACTGTTTGTAGACAAAACTACAGTTGTATAACGTAGAAATTGTTAATACAATTTTCTGAAGTGGGTGCTCGTTGGCAAAACCCAAGAATCGCATTTCTTTACCAAGTAAGTTTGTACACAGCCATCTTCCAAAAGCCGAACTTTCGCATCAGATAACTACTGTTCCCCCTCACTTCACCGAAAAGTCCCACGAGGAATCCATCAAAAATCCCAAAGGATCAATAACACCTTCCAAAGCCCACCATCCCCAATATTATATCTTCAATCATTTTCTATCCCGTCCCCATACGGGAAGAAATGGTAGGATCAATAGTTCCATGTACCTTGCCGCGCACTAGAAGTTGGCCAACAAGCTCGTACCCACTCCCGACAGCAACTTCACTGTACGTCATTCTCATCGTGTCAATATTTTCTGAAGGGTAGTTGGGTTGTCAAAGGATTATTGATTTTGCAGCTAGGTGAGTAAAAGTAAGCAATACGATAGTGCGCTGCACTCTCTGGATAGAGGGATTCAGACACTTCATCTTCACGAAACGGAATGAGGAAAACACAGTTGCAATTTTACCTGTCCTATATCAAGAAAGTTGAGGAATAAAAAGGTGGTATTCGGGAAATATCTGCTGTTGAATTCGCTGCAATGTCCGGAAGGATTGGGGGCTGGAGTTGGGGGCTGTCATATTGATTGATCCTTCGGGCTTAACACTGGTCTATTTTTCGCATGTCAACAATCGAATGTCGAGAATCTAGATTTGAATGGAGAAGGGCATTTTGAGTAGTGATAAACCTCACAAAGAATGCAGTTTCCGCACTTAGTTCGAGACACATGACTTCAATGTCCCTTCTGTTGTGGAAACGATGCAGATTATCCTTTTGTACCGCAGTCTCTTATTTCATTCTTAACCATAAGCTTCAGTTGAAATTCCTTTGCATTCATTTCACTACGAACATCATATCTATGACATTTTGTTTATTACGAAATCACGTATCTTCAACTGAGAATTTAATAAAGGCTGAGTCAACTCATCTCGCTTACGAAATGTACTACCGTGGTTTGCTTTCACTACATGTTTATTATATTTTATGGTCACATAATCTTCTACTATTTTAAGATTTGTTCGTTCACACTTGCTCTTATTTTACTTTATGAATGAGTCACTATTGTACCTGAAGACATGTGCGCTAAAACAATCGACTTTCAATAGGTTGACAGTTTTTGATGGATAGCTTCATTTGTTTAACAGACGAAATGGGTCTTGATAATGATTTGAGATTCATCTGTCTCAAAGAAAGGTTTTGAAATTAGTTTACGGATACACACAGAGATATCTAGGAAGGTGTCTCTTTGAGCTCAAGTAAAGGTAGATTGCCCAAAACGCAGCCATCTGGTACATCCCAAACGCACTCTCATACATGTCAGCAAGCAAATTTATGTTCTTATACCTCTGAGATCCATACCTTCACTTCTATTCAAACTTCAAACAAAACCGCATTCCTTAAATTCAAAACTGAACTTCATCTACCAAACGCCGCCTTTACCCCTCAAATTGAGCTCCCACATCTCATCTGGATTCTCCCAAACCCTTCTCGGCTCCGTCGGTGTTTGGCGCGCCTGATATGGACAACCACCTTCAACCATCTCGCAAGTATCAGGTTTCTTCTTATCCTCAGAGTCTAATGACTTTTTATGCTGAGGACGAGGACCACGTGGTCCCTTTCTACTCCTGAAACTTGGTGTATTTTTGTTCTCAGAATCTTGTTCCTTCTTATCTTCCTCTCCCGGTTTCTTCCAACTCTCAGAGAGATTCGGGCATTCTCTCATGTCGGGCATAACCTTCCTCGGCCCAATTTCCTCGCTGTCGCCGAAAAGATTATGATGTTGCGAGGTTGGTCGATGGATTTTGAGGTGTCTGTTGAGTGCCGAATCAGCGTCGGAGACAGCTTTGAGGTATATTCCACACGGTATAGTGCTGGTTTTACTGCAAGGGCAGTCTTTGAATGTGTTGTGGGTTATTTTACACATTTTTGTCTTTGTATCCCGAGCGCTTTTTTGGTAAGAATTGGTGATATTTTCTTGAGAAGTGATAATGTTCTTTGGAACTGAGGTTCTTTGAAGGTATATAATCTAAATTCATGTTTAATATTTTTGTCATCATTGTTCTGAGAAAACAGACATACCTGACTGTGTGTATTCACAATAGTAAGAACAGAATAGTCAGAAAATATCTACAATATCTTGTAAACAATTATTTGATAAAATTTATTCACCCTTGGTCAGTTTTATAACCCTAACTCTCTAGAAAACACCCCATTACAAAACAGCTAGTGAATCTACGTTCTAGTTTCCCTACTACCCCTGGTCCCATTTATCTTCTAAACTTCTATCAACCACTCTTATACCTCAATTCATCTATCCATCACCCTCAAACCCCAACTTCACCACTACCAAACCCCACTCCTCCCCCTCAAATTCAGCACCCACATCTCCTCCGGACTCTCCCAGACCCTCTTCCCTCCCTCCTCCTTCTTCCGCACATCATTATACGGACATCCCCAGGGTACCATCTCGCAAGTCCCATCAATCTCCTCTGGATCCTCTGAATCTTCCTCATGAAAAAGCGGACAATCTCTCATTTCAGGTTTATTAGCTTTCTTCTTCCCAACATCTTCTCCATCGCCGAGTAAATGATGGCGTCGCGAAGCTGAGCGATGAAAATGTAGGTAACTGTGGTGTCCTGATTCAAATTCGTCGATTGCAGTGATGTAGGTATCGCAGGGCTTGGTGCTTGTTTTGTGGCAGGGACAGGCTTTGAATTTGTGGTGGGTTATGTGACACATTCTTGTGGTATTGAAGCTGTTTATTGCAGTCAAAGATAGAGGGTCCTTTGTGAGACAGAGTGTTTCCTATGGAACTGGAGTTGTTAGATGGTATATACCTAGAACCCATGTTTGATATGATTGTCATTGTTCTAAAAAAACAAATGTTGTCGACGTTGTGTCTATTCACAACTGTAGGAACAGATCTATAATATCTTCTAAATTTTTAAATGGCAAAATCATTCACTCTTAAACAGTTAGCAGCACTAAATAAAATTTGATCCTAATTTTAGCCAAGTTCCTTAGAAAGGATTTGAAGTGAATACTACTCCCAACACCAGAGTCATATAAGATCTGGAACTTCCAAGTCATAAAAAATAAAATCAACAACAAGACAACAGTCAACGCATCCCACATCAGGGCCATCTACGGAAGTTTTCATTTATTCAAAGATATAGACAATTAACATAGCCAACACTCACCACCACCCCAATCATCCATCCCAGTCACATCCAAACCACACTCAAACCGCCCAAACCGCCCAAACCACTCACCCAACCACTTCAAAAATGTGTCAACAAAGCATCAAAACCTACAAACACTGCAACTGTATAACACGCAGCCACACAGCGTGTCCCAAATTCCGCGCCGCATCCAAGGTCAAGATCGCCGGCGAGATGCGAGAGCCAGATCTGAAAGATTGTCCTGGTTACGGAGAGTTGGGATGGGGACAGAGAGAAACTATCGAGGGGACGTGTGGGATGTTGGCGGGTGGGAAATGTCCTTATGTGGAGGAGAAGTTGAGGCTTGGTAAATGAAGTCGGAGCAAGATGT